GGCTCGGTCCTGAAAGGTGAGACAGTCTGAAGCGGGGAGGGCCTTCCAGGTTATACGCAGATAAAACAAAGGGTTGCATTCTTTTTTTTTTTTAATTAATTAACTTTTTTTTTTTAGGTGGAGTCTTGCTCTTGTTGCCCAGGCTGGAGTGCAGTGGCGAGATCTCGGCTCACCGCAACCTCTGCCTCCCGGGTTCAAGTGATTCTCTTGCCTCAGCCTCCTGAGTAGCTGGGATTACAGACATGCACCACCACACCCAGCTAATTTTTTGTATTTTTAGTAGAGATGGGGTTTCTCCTAGTTGGTCAGGCTGGTCTCGAACTCCTGACCTCAGCTGATCCACCCGCCTCCGCCTCCCAAAGTGCTGGGATTGCAGACGTGAGCCACTGAGCCTGGCAGGTTGTGTTCTTCTGAGTTTCTGATTAGACTTTCCAAACAGAGTAATCAGGTCTTCATTTATCTCAGTGAGCAGACGCACGACTGTGAATTCTGTCCACTCTTTGTGTGCAAGGAATTTTCTTGTGGATAAATCGTGAGGAAGATACACTATTTTTATTTTTTTTTTTAGATCTTGGTAGCTATCTTTTTTAGGGAGGCAGGCCAAGCAGTTGCCAGCTTGACTTTTCCCTTTGGCTTAGTGATTTGGGGGTCCCAAGATTCATTTTCCTTTCACAGCACAAACACTTGTGCACAAATGTTCATAGCAGTTTTACATGTGCTGGCCCCAAACTAGAAATGATCCAAATGTCCATCAACAGAGGAAGAAGTTATAGTGTATCCAACAATGGAACACTTTTTTTTTTTTTTTTTTGAGACGGAGTTTCGCTCTTGTTATCCAGGCTGGAGTGCAATGGCGCGATCTGGGCTCACTGCAACCTCCGCCTCCTGGGTTCAGGCAATTCTCCTGCCTCAGCCTCCTGAGTAGCTGGGATTACAGGCACGCGCCACCATGCCCAGCTAATTTTTTGTATTTTTAGTAGAGACGGGGTTTCACCATGTTGACCAGGATGGTCTCGATCTCTTGACCTCGTGATCCACCCGCCTCGGCCTCCCAAAGTGCTGGGATTACAGGCTTGAGCCACTGCGCCCGGCCTAATGGAACACTTTTTATAAAAAAACATCAACAATTGATATATACCACAGTGTGGGTGACTCTCTTAAAGTCTGCAGTCACAGAGGACAGGCATGGTTGATACAGGTGCCCCTCTTTGTATCTGTCTGATACAAAGAGGGGCACATTGCACGATTCTAGCCGATGCACCCTCCTCTGTGGTCACAGCAGATTCCTGGTTGCCTGAGTGGGGGGAGGGGAAGAATTGCCAAGGGACACAGGAACGTTTGGAAGTGGTGAAGACGTTTGCGGTGGCTCCCAGGGGTATGTGTGTCAAAACCTAGCAAACCTACACTTTAAATACTTGAAGTGAGCCAGGCGTGGTAGCTCACGCCTGTAAGTCCAGCACTTTGGGAGGCAGGAGTTCGAGACCTGCCTGGCCAACGTGGCAAAATCCCATCTCTACTAAAAATCAAACATTCTCTGGGCACGGTGGTGGGCACCTGTGGTCCCAGCTCCTCGGGAGGCTGAGGCAGGAAAATCACTTGAACCCGGGAGGCGGAGGTTGCAGTGAGCCGAGATCGCACCACTGCCCCTCCAGCCTGGGCGACAGTGCGAGACTCCGTCTCAAAATATAGATAGATAAATAAATACTAAAGTGTGTTACGTATTAATTATACTTCAATAAAGCTATAAAAACCAAAAAGGAGGCCGGGCGAGGTGGTGGTGCCCGTGGTCCCAGCTACTGGGCAGGCTGGGGCTGCAGGGTCACTTGGGCCTGGGAGGTCGAAGCTGCAGGGAGCTGGGGTCGCGCCATTGCACTCCAGTCCGGGCGACAGTGAAACCCCGTCAGAAACGAAAAAGGAAGGAAGGAAAGAGAAAGACGGAAAGAAAGAGAAAGAGAAAGAAAAAGGAGGGAGGGAAGGAGGGAGGAGGGAGGGAGGAGGGAGGAGGGAGGGAGGAGGGAGGAGGGAGGAGGGAGGGAGGGAGGGAGGAGGGAGGGAGGAGGGAGGGAGGGAGGAGGGAGGGAGGGAGGGAGGGAGGGAGGAGGGAGGGAGGGAGGAGGGAGGAGGGAGGGAGGGAGGAGGGAGGAGGGAGGAGGGAGGAGGGAGGAGGGAGGAGGGAGGGAGGGAGGAGGGAGGAGGGAGGGAGGGAGGAGGGAGGAGGGAGGGAGGGAGGAGGGAGGAGGGAGGGAGGGAGGGAGGAGGGAGGAGGGAGGAGGGAGGAAAGGAAAAAAAAAAAAGCAAGGTGGATGGTTTCGGGCTGAGCCCGGCCTGCCGTAGTCGCTCGTGGAATCAGCCCCGACTGTCTCGGGACGAGGGCTTTCACCCGGGCTACACGGCTTCAGGAAAGGGAGCCTAGCAACCCCCAGAAATGCCCTTCCCGCCGCCGCCCGCCGAGGAGGGGGCAGGACCTGGGGAGCCCGTCCACGGCTCGGTGGTGGCCTCGTGCCCTCTGGTGGCCGCCAGGCGCACAGCAGGCCGCGTCCCCCGCCCCCAGGCCCGGGCGCTGCGTGCTGGTCTCTGCCTCCACCGTAGAGCTGGGTTATTCTTCCTCCCTGGACTGAGGGGTGCTGCTGCCTGAAGTGCGGGGGGACCCTGCCTATTCCTCATCTGACAGCCGCCGTCCCCCTGCGGCTCCCACCAGGAAGGTTCATGATGGGGCTGGGAGTGAAGCCCCAGGGACAGCAAGTCCTGAAAAGGCCTCGGGCAGGGCCCGTCCCTCTTCCACCTCCCGCCACAGCCCCGGGCCGCAGCCTGGCCGTTGGCCTCCCTGCCTCTCCTGTCCCCAGCCCCAAAACCTTCTCATCTGGTGACGGTCACGTGGGGCCCGGACGCCGCCTGCATGGCACCAGGATGTGGTGCGGGGTCAGCTGGGCGTCCACATGAAGACAGAGGGGAGCCCCATGCCCCCAGGTCCGTCCACAAACGTCCATGCCAGTGTGTGCAGATCCGGGCATGAAAGGTGACACAATGAAGTTTTGTTGTTTTTTTTTTTTTGAGATGGAGTCTTTCTCTGTCGCTCAGGCTGGAGTGCAATAGCGTGATCCCTGCCCACCACAACCTCTGCCTCCTTGGTTCAAGCAATTCTCCTGCCTCAGACTGCAGAGTATCTGAGATTATAGGCACATGCCACCATGCCCGGCTAATTTTTTTGTATTTTTAGTAGAGATGGGGTTTCACCATGTTGGTTAAGCTGGTCTTAAACCCCTAACCTCATACTCTGCCCGCCTCAGCCTCCCAAAATGCTGGGATTACAAGCATAAGCCACCATGCCCAGCCACAATGAAGTTTTTTTGAACGTGAAGGAGTATCAGGCTGCGTGTGGTGGCTCACACCTGTAGTCCCAGCGTTTTGGGAGGCCAAGGCGGGTGGATTACCTGAGGTCAGGGGTTTGGGCCCAGCCTGGGACACATGGTGAAAACCGTCTCTACTAAAAACACAAAATTGGCCGGGCGTGGTGATGCATGCCTGTAACCTCAGCTACTTTGGAGGCTGAGGCAGGAGAATCGCTTGAACCCAGGAGGCGGAGGTTGCAGTGAGCAGATATTTCACGATTGCACTCCAGCCTGGGCAACAAGAGCGAAATTCTATCTCAAACAAAGGCACTGTTAAGAGGGTGGAAAGTGGAGGCAGAGAGAAGAGTTCCATAGTGTACGGGTTCAGTAAAGAGCTTGTCCAGAACATCGACTCCGGGAACCGTGGGGCAGCAACTTCTGAAGTTGACCCCATGCATCCTAGAAACGTGAGGGTCATCGAAAGGAATGTTCCAGGATAGTCATGGCTGCACCACGTGTGAGAGCTGCAAACTGGACATGACCCATGTCGCCACCCATGGGAAACTTCGGCAGGCATGTGGCACGTTCTCATGGGACAGCCTCACCCGCAGTCACCCGCAGCCCTCAGGGCAGCTGTCTCCAGAGCGCAGCCTCGGCCGAGGACACCACTGCAGAAAGGTTGCAGGGTGTCAGTCCGTCTGTGAAGGCTCACGACAGGCCGGCCCCGGGGGCGGACGCCTCGTCCTGTGGGCTCGTGCCAGCTACTTCCTGGAAGAGCATCGTGTGGGACCAGGCATGCACTTCGCACACCTGGCCCTCACCACCACCCCTCACAGCACAGGCCCCAGCACCCTGGACTCTCTGGAGCTTCTGGGTCCAAGGCCCCCACCTCAGAGAGGTCTCCGGCCCCTCCGGCCATCCCCTCCCTCCTTCTTTCTCAGGACATGTTGCTGTCGGAGCAGAGCTCATCTGCCTGCTTCATCGGATGTTTATTGTGGTTCCCTCGCCCTGTCTTCCTGTCCCCGGCTCGGAACCTGCCTGGGGGTGGGCACTGTGAACCCCAAGGCCAGGACAGCCTGGAGGGTGCAGCTGAGCAGAGCCCGGGGTGAAGGCGCTCTGGTCACCTGATGCGCCCTGGCTGTGTGGCTGAGCAGGTGACTCGCACTCACGTGAGCCCTGAGGTCAGGACACAGAGGCCGTCTCAGAAGCGGGCCAGGAACAGTCCAGGGCGGCAGGGCGGGCAGGTCTGAGGTTTCACTGCGGCCACAGAAGCACAGTGTGGCCTTCAGCTTGGGACCGACCCTGCGGTGCTGCTTGCTGGTCAGCGCCCTGCGGCCCGTGTCCAACCCCACTGCAGCCAGACCCACGCCAGGAAGCTGTCCTCACAACCGTAGCTGGAGGGCCCTCAAATGCCATCTATTTGTGGCCTGGACCCTGAGGGCTGGCACGCGTCACATGTAACCACAGGGACACGGTATTTTTGGCACAGGGGGTGGAGCCTGTTCAGCCAACCTAGAGCCATGCTGCCAGGGACAGGCTGCTCAGACACCCTGCTCGGCCACCGGGACCCAGGTAGGACACGACCCACTGCTTGCTCCTGACCCAAGGGTCCCAATGGCAACAACCCCCAGAGACTTCTCAAGGGACCAGAGAGGAGGGCAAAGGTCAGTGGGCAGAAAGCCGCCGTTCCCGGCCTCAAGGCACCTCCATCTCAGGACTGTCCCCGCAAGTGACCTCCCACCCCCGGGTCCAGAGGGGCTGACCTGAGGCCGAGGGGAGCCTCCTCTCAGGGTACACCTGACAGCCAGCTAGGGTCTCCCTGCTTCTCTGAGATGGGGCAGAGGAAGGCACCCCGGGTAGCTGGGCAGGCCTGGGTCGTGGTGAAGACCTTGAGGACAGCCCAAGGTGGCCGCTGGCAGCTAAGAAACCATCTCACCCTGCACCTGCTGCCCAGGCTCTCCCTGCTGACCTGGGCCAGCTCGGGCCAGCACCACTTGGTGAGCTCAGAGGAAGTCTGTCCCAGCCAAGGTGATGGGAAGGTCATCCCCAAGGGCTGGGCACCTGCTGGGCGCTGTAAACCAGCTGTGGCACGTTGGTCAGGCCAGGGCTGCGCCCCCAACCCGAGGTCACTGGTCCCATTGGGTGGACCTTGAAAGGGGCTTTGCTGTGTAAAGACGGCGCTGGCAGAGGGTGGAGGAGGTGAGGCTGCCGGCGAAGCTGGGGTGGGAAGCAGCGTTCAGACCTGCTGGTTTTCCAGGGTGCTTACCTGACAGGTCATCTCCAATTTTAGGAATGTAGCAACATGGCTTTCAAAGCTCGTCTGAGTGCGCTGGGAAACAGGGCCACGGGAACGGAGAATTTCTAGCTTGGAGGAAATCCTTGCCACTAGGTTTGAAGGAGGCACGGCCCCTCTACATGCTGCTCTCTTCCTTCCAGGGCACGGATAGAGCCCCTAGGCAGTGGGAGCCCCCAGGCCTCGTGGGGCAGGGGCGGCAGGTGCAGGGTGGTGCCCGGGGCCTGAACCCATGAAGGCCCCCCCAGCCTCAGCGCCTCTGCTGACCCCAGATGGAAAATTTCCAGTACAGCGTCCACCTGAGTGACCAGGACTGGGCCGAGTTCTCCGCCACCACTGACGAGTGTGGCCTCCTGCAGGCCAGCCTGGCCTCTGGGGACGAGCTCTTGTCCAGTGACACTGACCAAGGGGGCAGCAGCGGCAGCAGCCCCCCCAGGGCCCCGCCTCTCCTGACCGGGCGGCCAGCGGCAGGGGGCCAGGGCCCTGAGGAGGAGGGCGTGGCCCCACAGTCCCCAGTCAGCAGGTCTCGGTGTGAGCCTGTCTTGGCCCTGGGGACCAGTCACCAGACACCCAGCACGTCCGCACGGGCAGAAGCTCCACTGTCCCTTGGCCCCGGCAGCCCCGCTCCCAGCCGGCGCTCATCCTGCCCCAGTCCAGCGTCTTCTGGAGACCAGATGCAGAGACTTCTACAGGGCCCTGCCCCACAGCCCCGGGGGGAGCCCCCTCGGAGTCCCGAGTCCCCTGACCACTGTGCTGCCTCCCAGAGGCCCCCCAGTAGCCCTGGAGCCTCGCCACGGAGCCCCGGCCGAAAGAAGAGGCGAGCGGTGGGTGCTAAGGGGGGTGGGCAGGCAGGAGTCCCTGCTTCTGCACGGACGGGCTCCCCACTGCTCCCTGCAGCCAGTCCTGAGATGGCAAAGCTGACAGCCAGAGCCGGGCAGGAGGAGCTGGGGCCAGGTTGGGGCCTGTCCACACCTGTCCCTTTGACTGAGCAAGGTACAGACCAAATTGGAGCCGCCCCCAGCGCCAGGCTGCACACGGTGTCCACACCCATCCAGGAAGTCCACCCAGATGTCTCAAGGTCTGAGTCAGGCATGGCTGTGTCTACACCCACCTCCAAGCCTCAAACTGATGTGGCTTTGTGTATACCTGCCTCTGAGCCTCAACCTGACACAGACGTGACTGTGTCTACACCCGCCTCCAAGCCTCAGCCTGACATGACTGTGTCTACACCCACCTCCAAGCCTCAGCCTGACATGACTGTGTCTACACCCACCTCCAAGCCTCAGTGTGACATGGCTGTGTCTACACCGGCCTCCAAGCCTCAACCCGACATGGCTGTGTCTACACCCGCCTCTACTTCTCAACCAGACACGGACATGGCTCTGTCCACACCGGCCTCCACACCTTGCCTGGATGTGGCCTTGGCTACAGCAGGCCGAGCGGTGAAGCTAGAGGTGGCTTCATCTCCACCTGTCTCAGGGGCTGTGCCAAGGATGGCCGAGTCCGCCAGGCTTGTGTCTACACCTGGTTCTGGAGCTGACGCCGCCGGCCCCGCTTGGTCTCCCACCCGAAGGGCCGGGCCTGACGTGGTGGACACAGAGGTTGTCGGGTCTGAGCCCTCAGCAGGGGCCTGTGGACGCCGCTCTGGGGAGCCTGCACTGGGTCTCACCCAAGTCCCCAAGAAGAAGAAAGTGCGATTCTCCATGGCTGTGCCCACTCCCAAGGAGCCAGGCTCAGGAGAGGCCTCAGGCCCGGCCCCGCCCGCCACAGCCCGGCCCTCAGCCCCCCGGACGGCGACTGGGGGTCACGGGGGGCCCGGAGTCTGGGACGCAGTGGCCGTCGGGCCCCAGCCCCACCAGCCTCGGATCCTCAAGCACCTGCCTCGCCCGCCCCCTTCTGCCGTGACGAGGGCCGGGCCCGGGAGCCGCTTTGCTGTGACCCTCCCAGAGGCCTACGAGTTCTTCTTCTGTGACCCCATCGAGGAGGACGAAGACGCCGAGGCGGCAGCGGCCAGCCAGGGCCCGGCGGACGTCCAGTGGCCGGACACGTGCGAGTTCTTCTTCCGAGACTGTGGCACCCAGACATCGAGGCAGCGGGGGGCCCCAGTGCTGCCCCCGAGAGCCGATCCCGTGCCGGCCCCCCCACCTGGAGACCCCGTGCCCATCTCCATCCCTGAGGCCTATGAACACTTCTTTGGAGAGGACGGGCTTGCGGGTGTCCCGGGTGCGGGGACTGCCCCACACTCGCTACAGGCCCCGGAGCCTCCCAGCTCGGCCTCCCAGGGGGCGGGGATTGGCACCCCCTCCACGACAGCCGCAGTGGAGCGGCTCCACCTGGCTCTCAGGCGGGCAGGTAGGTGCCTCGGATCCCACAGCCCATCCAGGTCCCAGACACACACTGTCCAGGGAGCTCAGCCACGGGGCCGCTGTGGGGGGCGGGCAGGCAGGGCCTGGGTCAGCCCAGGACAGAGTCCAGACAGGCCCACGTGATGACAGCGCCTGCCCCCGGCCTCTGGCAGAGCTCTGGCCCCGGCTTGGCTGCCTTCAGGGTGAGGCGTTTGCCAGGTGGCATCACACGTCTGATCTCCTCTGGGAGGTGCTTTACACACCAGAAAATGGGGGCCCACAGGCAGTTCCCCCAAACTGGCCCAGCTCAACCACGTGACAAAGTCTCAGGCAGAGGAAGCGGGGCAGCTGTGACTCAGACAGACACGTTGGGGCGGGCGGTTCTTGGGAAGACGTCGTGTCCAGGACAAATGGATCTTGGGACAGACGTGTCCCAGGATGGATGTGTCTGCAGCAGGCGTGTGCAGGCCAGATGGCTCTTGGGGCGGGTGGTTCTCAGGGCAGACGTGTGTGGGGCAGGTGTTTCCTGGGGCAGACAGTTCTCGGGGCAGGCGGTTCCTGGGGCAGGTGGTTCCTGGGGCAGACAGTTCTCAGGGCGGGCGTGTGTGGGGCAGGTGGTTCTCGGGGTGGGCGTGTGCAGGCCAGTCTCTGAGTGTGGCAGTGGGGCTGAAGGTGACCTTCTTTCCTAGGGGAGCTCCGGGGGCCCATCCCATCATTTGCCTTCAGCCAGAATGACATGTGCCTGGTGTTTGTAGCCTTTGCCACCTGGGCTGTGAGGACGTCAGATCTGCACACCCCGGACGCCTGGAAAACAGGTTCGGGTGCCGGGGGGCAGAGGGAACTGCACCCACAAGTCAGACCCGGGGCGCCGGCAGGACGAAGGGTGTGTGGGGGACCCAGGGCTCTCCCCTGACCTGCCCCGGCCTTCCCCGGCCTTCGCGTGCTGGGTGTTTCAGGCAGACAGTGCTGGCGGCCACAGCTGGCCCTCAGGAGACCCTGTGCTTCCCTTGCAGTCTTGCTCGCCAACATCGGCACCGTCTCTGCCATCCGATACTTCCGTCGGCAGGTGGGGCAGGGCCGCCCCCGCCGCAGCCCCAGCCCCAGCTCCTAGGAGCCAGGCCCGGGCCAGGGAGATGCGGGACGAGGAGCTGACCACGGATGCCTGGGACAGGTGCCGCCCTCGCCTGGGCCCCCTGACCTGTCTTCTGCGGGGTCCGGGAGGGGGAACGTGTCCCGGCGCTGCTCCCTCGGACTCACCTGAGGGTCCAGCCAGCGAGCACGGCTGCTCCCCACACTGGGGAGGGAGACGCGTCTGGGCGGGTGGAGGCCAGGCAGGTGGCTGGGTCGCAGGGGGCCAGATTCACAGACGAAAACACAGGGCATTTGGTTACATTTGAATTTCGGACATGCAACACTTCGGAGGCCACTTTACTGAAAAGTGACTTGTTCACCTGGAAACTGCAGCTGCGCTTCTGGGAGCAGTGGGGCTGAGTGGCAGGACAGGAGCTCTGGGCAAGGACATGGGGTGGCCTCAAAGCGGGCTGGGGGGGTCTAAGGACTCTGCTCTCCTCACGGTGGGCTTGGTGACAAGGGCTCTGAGGCCCATCACCCCGATCCCAGAGGGACTGTGGCCAAGGCCTCTCGGGGCTCTGGCCTGACACAGTGAAGGCAGCCCGGCAGCCCCTGCGGGGCGGGGGATCTGTAGCAGAGCCCTGAGGGCCCTTGGTGCAGGTGCTGAGAGAGAATTTGGTGGCATCAGATGGAGGACTGGGCTCCGGGCTTGTCCCTGGGGGGCTCAGAGGAGTCAGAGACGTGGTGGGAAGGTGGGTGAGGGGCCCAAGGTGGCAGAGGTGGGGTGCTGTGGGGCAGCTGGGGGCCACAGCCAAGAGGGGTCAGAGACGTGGTGGGAAGGCAGGTGAGGGGCCTGAGGTGGCAGCAGCAGGGGGCTGCCTGGCTGGGTGCCAGGTGGGGGACCCCCGAGGCAGCGTGAGAGTGTCCCCAAGACTCTGGGAGACCCCAGCTGCTGAGCAGAGAACACGCAGACACGGCACCAATAAAATCTTTTTCTTTTTTTCTCTCTCTCTTTCTCTTCTGTTTTCTTCTTTCTTGTCCGGTGGTGTCAGCGTCTCCCAAGCTGCACATGCCCAGGCCACAAGGCCCCACCTGCCCTCCTCCTTGGGACACCACCACCCACACCCTGGCTTGTGCCCTTCACACTTGCTGACCTGTGACCATCTTGCCTTCTGACTTCACATACTCTGACCCTGCTGACCTTGCTCTGTCCTCCAACCTCTACGCCCATGCCACCCTCCCACTCCCAGGAATGCCCCCACGAGTCTCCTCCCCCACTCCTGGCTGGCTGAACTGAGGGCCGACCCTGTGGATGGCCAGGGCCTCCCTGACCTGTGACCTGGCCTCTCCAGCCAGGATGGCCTTGGGATGGGGCCCCTCCCTCACTCCAGCTGCTGGCGTTGAGTCGTGGGAGCCCAGGGTCCCGGAGACTCCCCCCACCGCACTGGGTTCAGACCCTGACTTGGACTTTGAAGTGGCTTAGAGGGGTGGGTGCCGTGGAGGCCCGGCAAGGGTGGTCCTGAGAACCTGCCCTGCTGGGGCCATCAGATCCACTGCACAAGCCCGCCGCCGGCCTCAGGCCCTCCCAGCCGGGCACACTTCTGCTGGGAGGAAGCCAAAGTCTCATCCCAGGGGTGGCTGTGGCCTGGGCCCTCGCTCCTCCTGGGGGGCTGGCCATCTAGGGGAAGGCAGAGACGTGTCAGCCTACGGGAGGCCACAGGCACCCGCCCCAGGAGCCAGGACCGCCACCCACCTGTCAGAGGCAGCTGCAGTTCGGGCGAAGCTTCCCTGGCAGAAGAGACCTGGAAACCCCAAACCACAAGTCTGAGAGGGGCATAGCCCCAGGCAAGCGGCTTGGAGGTGGCCTGTCCACGTGCAGCGCCAGGCCCTGCGTCGCCCACATGCTCCCTGCTTTCCCTGCCCAGCCCCGTCTGCCCGCCTCCCTGCTGGCTGCCCTGGTCTCCAGCTGCCCCTGCCCTCCTGTTTCCGTCCCTGCTCCCTCAGAGTCCCAGGAGGCCCCACACCAGCCCCTCAGCACCCCCAGAGCCCAGGGCACACCAGCTACTCACGAGCTGAGGGGCATCTGGGGGCTGCAGCCCCACGCCCTTGGCTGAGCCTCGGTGTCTCTGAGAGGCTCTGGACTTCTTGGAGAGCAGGTGGGGGCCAGTGGGGCCGGGGGAGCTGAAGCCAGGGTCAGAGACAGGCACAGATGCGGGCAACGAGGGGAGCGGGCTCAAGGGCACAGGTCCAGGCGAGCTCTGCATGGCACTGAGGACCTGCCGGGAGGGCCTGGGCTGGGACCTCGGTGGCACCCAGGGACCCCAGCAACGAAACTCAACCTCCCAGCACAGCCTGAACAGACCTCAGGCTTCGGGCAGCCCTGGACCCCAGGGCGAGATTCATGGGCTAGACCTCCTTAGACCCCGAACTTCGGGGTGTGGGCACCTCCCGACCTCAGGCGGCCGGCACCTCCTGCCCTTCCTTCAGCTCAGCAAGGGACTGACCTCCTCCAGGCCCTGGACATCTGTGATTCTGCGGTGGGAGGTGGCCGGCGGGGTGTAGGGGTCGGCATAGAGGGGCGAGTGTGGTGTCTCTGTGTGGCCAGGGGCCTCCGGGCTGCCCTCCAGGCTCAGCCTGTTCAGCTGCAGGGGAGAGGTGGGAGAGGTGGGTTCCTCAGCTAGAAGCAGCCTAACCCTCCCCTTCTCTGAGGTGAGGAGTGGCAGGAGCCAGGCCAGGGCCAGGTGTGTGTGCCGGGCTCACCTGGGTCAGGTCCAGGTGCAGCGGGGTGGCAGGGCCTCGGCCCTCTGCCCGGGCCTTGCTCCTGGGTGACCAGCTGCTGCCGCTACGCCTCAGCTCTGTCCTCCGTCGGCAGATGCCGGTGGAGTCAGAGTTGGCCTGGTCCTGTGGGGACCACAGACCTTCCAGAAAGAGCCTCTGGGGCCCTCTCCCATGCAATTCCCTGAGGCTACCAGGGGCTCCCTGCAGTCTGAGTCCCCGAGGAACCAGGGTCCCCAACACATGCTTACCCAATGGCCTTCTGCCCTACGTCTGTCCGCCACCCCCCAGGTACTCACCGGTGTGCGCAGGGAGGGACAGCCCATGGTGGATGGTACTGAGGACTCAGGCAGGGAGTGGCTGGTGCGGGGGGACGGGGGCACCGGGCACTCCAAGTCCCAGCTGGTCCGTCCACCTGAGGAGAGTGAGCCTTGGCCGCTGCCTATGGCCTGGGTGGGCAGTGAGTGGGGGTGAGTGAGGACTGGACTCCTCCCCACCTGCCCGCTGCCTGGACACACCCCCTCCCCACCTGCCCCCTGCCTGGGCCCACCCCCTCCTCACCTGCCCCCCTTCCTGGACCCACCCCCTCCTCACCTGCCCCCCTTCCTGGACCCACCCCCTCCCCACCTGCCCCCCTGCCTGGACCCACCCCCTCCTCACCTGTCCCCCTGCCTGGACCCACCCATTCCTCACCTACCCCCTGCCTGGACCCACCCCCTCTTCACCTACCCCCTGCCTGGACCCACCCCCTCCCCACCTGCCCCCTGCCTGGACCCACCCCCTCCCCACCTGCCCCCCTGCCTGGACCCAACCCTCCTCATCTACCCCCTGCCTGGGCCCACCCCCTCCCCACCTGTCCCCTGCCTGGACCAACCCCCTCCCCACCTGCCCCCTGCCTGGACCCACCCTCTCCTCACCTGCCCCCTGCCTGGATCCACCTCCTTCCCACCTGCCCCCCTTCCTGGACCCACCCCTCCCCACCTGACCCCTGCCTCCTAGACCCACCCCCTCCCTACCTGCTGCCCTGCCTGGACCCACCCCCTCCCCACTTGTCCCCCTGCCTGGACCCAACCCCTCCTCACCTGTCCGCCTGCCTGGACCTACCCCCTCCTCACCTATCCCCTGCCTGGACCCACCCCCTCCCCACCTGTTCCCCTGCCTGGACCCACCCTCTCCCCACTTGTCCCCCTGCCTGGACCCAACCCCTCCTCACCTATCCCCTGCCTGGACCCACCCCCTCCTCACCTGCCCCCCTTTTTTGTGGAGTCTCATTCTGTCACCCAGGCTGGAGTGCAATGGCACAATCTTCACTCACTGCAATCTCCGCCTCCCCGGTTCAAGTGATTCTCCTGCCTCAGCCTGCCGAGTAGCTGGGACTACAGGCATGTGCCACCACGCCTGGCTAATTTTTTTGCATTTTTAGTAGAGACGGGGTTTCAGGCTGGTCTCGAACTCCTGACCTCACATGATGCGCCCACCTTGCCTCCCAAAGCGCTGGGATTACAGGCATGAGCCACGGCTCGTGGCCTGCTGCCCCATTTTTACCACTGCCCGGGACCTGGGCCGTGGGTGCTGCCGACCTCTCACCTGCATTCCCAGGAAGCTCTCAGTGCCAGGCAGCCGCCGGGCCCCCTCCCTGTGGGTGACGGCGCGGAGGCAGAGCAGCCAGTGGCCGTAGTCCTCGTAGCTGGAGCATACCACCCGGATGGTGTTGATGAGGGGACCTGGCACACCGACGCTGTGAGGGGCTGGCAGGGCGGGGTGCACCCCTCAGCGCCCCACTAGAGAGCTGGGGCATCCACCAGGTCCCACCCCCACCCTGGCCTGGCTGGCGGGAGGCAGCCTTGGGGGAGGGCCCACCTTCGATCAGGAAGGAGCGGATCTGCTTCTCCTTCTCCTCCAGGTCGATGTGGACGGCGCGGAGCGGGAGCTCCCCCTGAGGGGGCAGAGCGAGGGCCAGGCCTTTGTGGGGCAGCCCCTGGGCCCCCACCTGGTCTCGTCCCACCCTCTTGCCCACCAGAGCCTGGCTGGGCACGTGGAGAGCCGGACACCGAGGCCACCACCCTGAGAGAGGCCAGTGGGTCCCATGCGTCCTGGGGCTACCGCCAACCCTCGGGGGGCCTTCGCCAGCTGGGACATACACATGAAGCCACAGGACTGGGCTCCTAGGGTCCCTGGGGCAGTTGGGGCGGGGGAACCGCAGGGAGGCCCCGTGCATTCGTTCCTCAGTGACCGAAGTTCACCGTGTGTGCACCCCATACTCCCACCCCAGAGGGCACGCACACACACGTGAACGCACACACCAGACCGTCCCAGGAGTGGCTATCACTCCCATGCTGCCCGACCCAGGGTGACGGTCGGCTGGGGCTGAGAACCTCAGGACGGCCTGGGAGGCAGGGCAGGGGCTCCGTGTCACGGCGGAGACCAGACTGACCAGGACAGTGGGCCGGGTGGGCAGGGCCCCACGCTCTGTCTCAACAGGCCCCGAAATACAGGTTCCTCCTGCATGGCCGCCCCCTCCCACTCCCACACAGGTGCCTCCCTGGGGCAGGTCCACAGCAGGGAGGGACCCACCTTGAAGCAAAGCCCGTCTGGCTCCTCAGAGAAAATGGCCAGGGACGTTGGGTACAGGACCAAGAGCCGGTCCCATTGCTCCTGAGTGGGGGATCGAACAAGGGGCAGCTGAGCTGCTGGGCACCCAGGGCCGGCACCCCACCCTGCCCCCCACCCTGCACACCTCCCATCCCCTACAGCACCACGCACCTCCCACCCACCTGTGCGGGCAGGTGCTGCAGCTTGACCCTTGAGGCACAGATGGCGCTGCCGCCGGGTTCGTGCCCTGACGCCGTCCGCAGCCGGGTGAGACGGCGCTCGAGAGTCCAGGGTAGCTCCTCCCCGGGGGTCCCCTGTGAGGAGGCGGTCAGAGCAGGCTTCGAGGATCAGGGCGGGGAGGGCTGTGGGGTCCCTGGCACTGACCTGTGGGGGTGCCCAGTGGCAGTGCCGCAGCCCCCCGAGGAGAGCCATCTGCTTCTCCAGGTGGTAGAGCCAGCAGTCCAGCTCGGCACGGCTGGGGCAGAGCACCAGGAGGGGTGCGGGCAGCGGGCCTGCGGGAGGGCAGAGGGGGCACCAGTATGCACACACGCTTGGCAGCAGGCAGGCAGGCTCCTCTCCAAGGCCTGGTCAGGGGTGCGTCTGGGGGCCCGGTCAGCATCCCACACACCTGTGATCTGGAAGGCGTGCTCTCGGGACTCCTTGAGCGCACAGACGCTCAGCTCTGTCAGTGGTAACAGCCCCTGCCAGGCACAGGATAGGAAGGTCTTCAGGGATCCAGGGAGAGACGGACGGCCGTGCCCCACACCCCCTGCTGCCCCCCCCCCCGCCTCACCTGAAGTGTGAGTCCTTCAGAGCCGTGGGCCTGGAAGTAGAGGTGGGCGGGGAACAGCTCCAGGTAGCAGTCGCTGACATCCTGCACAGGGAGCAGGGTGGTCAGTGGAGGGTCTGGGGAGCAGGCCCCGGGTCGGTGGGGATGCTGGACGCTGAGCGCACCCTGCCCACCTGGCCACACCTGGCTGTGCTGGAACCGCAGCTGGACCTTGGCATAGTGCACCACCTTTCCCAGGTTCCTCACAGGTACCCTCCGCCGCCCCTTCTTGAACACACTCAGAAATGGCTGCTCCGCGTTTTCCCGCTGGGTCTCCAGGTCCAGGATGTCCTAGGAGGAGCAGAACTCAGGGGAGGGGCCTGGCCTGGGCTCCCCACACCCTCATCGATGTCCACACAGCGGCATAACAGCAGGCAGGGTCTGCCTGTGCACAGCCAAACGGCACCTACAGGAAGAACACAGCCCCGTGTGCACAGAGCCCTGCACGCTCACAGCCTCTGCACAGGAAGTCACGGCAGAATTTACACACAAACGTGCCAACACACATACGTGTATGTGCACACACACAATACGTGCACATACAGGCACACACATGCATGCATACACACATACACACAGACATGCATCGCACGTGCACACACACGGACACACGTGCATACATAGTACACATCCACACACACACAAAAACATGTACACGTGCATATGCAGTGCACACGTATGGAGGTGTACATGTGCAGATGTGCATACACATGCACACACACATTTGTGCACACATTCATGTACACGCATATGCACATACACACACACAGACGCGCTTCCCCCACACAGAGCTGCCTGGTGTAGTGGTGGAGCAGAGACGGTGAGATTTGGACTCAGTGGATTAAACCCTATCTTCGTTCTTTCCTAAGACAAGTAATATGGCTTTGCTGCTTTGGTTATTCAACCTCTGAAGACTCGTTGAAAGAATTTGGGGGTGTCTGGGGGAAGCAACACCTGAAACTGTCTCGTGTCTGCAGTATTGGCTGGTAAACGTTTAGCACCTGGTGTTACAAACACACACACACACACCAAGGACCTGATTAATGTTTGCCAATTTCCTCAGTGTAAATGTTGCCACTGACACCCATTTCCAGCCCCCAGCCTGAGAGAAAGATAGGAGATTTCTGGAGTCCATCCCCTGGGCGTGTGTCGGCCGCTCCCCAAGCTTCACTTGGTGACAGCCGGGTCCTGGCCGTGCCCCAAGGGGTCTCCATGGCTGCCCCTGACTCACTGTCTCCTCACATCAGGCCCAAGCTCCTCGGGACCCCTCAGCCCTAACCCTTCCTTAACCACTTTGCAGCTTGGCTCAGACATCACGTGTTCTAAGAGGCCCTTTTCTGAAAGTCCTAAAATTCCAGACTTCCCCATCCTCCACCTGGCCCCTCTATTTTTCTCCTTAGTGCCGAGCCCACCCCACTTCTGTATCTTCTATTTATTTGTTTCATCATCTGTCTCTGTTGTGGGCATGAGAGCACCAGAAGAACAGGGGTTTTTGTTTATCTCGTTCACTGCTGTGTCCCCAGAGCCTAAGACCGGGCCTGGGATGTGCTGTGGGCATCAATGCTGAGGGGTGGGGGAATCTATGTCCACCCAGAGTCCTCTAAAGATGGAGGCTGGGATCACCAGGTTAGGGATCAGAAAGGGCATGGGCATGAACCTGGGGCTGGAGAGCTTTGTGACCCATCCGCAGGCTCGGGCAAGTGGGTAGGTGTCCTGCTCCCTCTAGGAGCTGCCAAGGGCTACCTGCAGGGCTGCTGTGCCCTGGCCAAGCTTAGCTGCCCCTGAGCAGGCCCAGGAATGTGAACAGACAGATGCATGGCTTCCCCGGCCTCCAGCCTCTGGGTGGGGCCTCCTGTACCCACACCCAGCATGGGAACTGATGCCGGGTTGGCACCCATGAAAAATAGGCCACAAACCGGGAAGGACAACACAGCCGGTCCTGCAGCCCAGCTCAGCCTTGGGGCCCTGGGGAGGACGAAGTCTGGAGCGGTGGCAGGGCCAGTTCACAGCACGGGTACAGACCCAGACGCAGGCCGGAAAACGGCTCTAGGACTGACCCAGAACTCCTCCCCCAGCCCCATCTTTTGAGCTTCGGCAGGTTTTTCCCTCTCCGGCTACCATGTCCTGGCAAGGGAGGACCACCAGGGTCACCACACCTCATAGGACCCCACCGGGGTCATGCTGCACATCCTGGGCCTGGACAGAGGAAGTGTGGTACCTCAGATGCAGCCAGAGACCCAACCCCTGACCCAGCCCGGCTCTGCTCCCTGCCCACACCTCCGAGGTAGCATGTTTCCGAAGCCTGCCCCGTCTGCAGGGTGCCCTGAAGCTCTGGGGGTCAGGAGAGGCTATGGGACAAGCTTCCCGCCTGGTGGGCCATGTTGGCAGGGAATCTGCACAGCTGCACCAGCTGCTGGACCCAGGTGCAGGGCAGGGGTCCTCCCCTAGACCCCCTGGGGCCCACACACAGCAGAGCCCACCCGTCCGGGCTGCCCGAGGGGGCTGCCGTGGGGATTCCCGTCTGCCCTGAAGCCCAGGTTCCTCCTCCTGCTCCCTTAACCCAGCACCGGCCGCATCTCAAAGGTGCTAGGTGTCTCTGCCCTGTGAAGACCCTCAGTACCCCGGGCCCGGCAGCGAGGGCGCGGGGGTGTTTATGCTCCTTCCATGGGGAGGTGGCCGCGTGTGGGCCTGGGAGATGCCTCCTTGCTGCGACGTCTTGGCAGGCTGGGAGGAGGCCCCCGCAGGGCGCACAGTTGCTGTGGACCAGGCGGCCAGCCAGCAGCAACTTCCTGCGAGACGCCCGTGGGGAAACTGAGGCCGGCGTACATGACCAGAGGGCTCACTGCTCTTCTGAGGCCCCTCACTCTCCAGGGACGCTACCAGCACGACCCCGGCCCCATTGCAGCGGCCGAGATTCGCGGGCTGGTACCCCGGCAGGTCTTGGGGGGCCCCGCCCGCCCGGCCGGCCCCGCCCAGCTCGCTCCGACTGACTCAGTCTCGCGTCTTGGTTTCGCTCTCCGCTCAGACTTTCGGCCGGATGAGTTCCCCGGGGCGGGGCTGCTCCTCACCTGCGGGGCTCTGAGTCCCCCGGCCGCACACGCGCGGGCACAGCCGTCCCCCCCGCCGCTCACCGTGCCCGGGACGTAGTGGAAGAGCCTGTCGGCGGCGGCGTCCCCGCTCCCAGCGGCCTCGGGGCCCAGCAGAACGGCCAGCTTCCGCGCGCTGTCCTCTCTGGGGACGAGGGAAGGGCTCACGGGCTGGACCCGGAGCAGGTGGAGGAGCCCCGCGCCCAGGGGCCGCGCCCACGCCCCTCACCTGCTTCCCTTCAGCGAGGGCTTCCTGGAGAAGGAGGCCCGGAGCCTCCTGGGGGCCTGCGGGACACAGTGGCTGTTCCCCATGGCCGAGCGGCGGGTCGGCAGGTCTGGGTCCCCGTCCACAGCCTTCTGCCGCCGCCTCCCTCAGGCAGGCGGGGCTGGGGGACGTCCGGACTGGCACCGAGGGCTGGGCCAGGGTGGAGCTTCTGGAAGTGGCCCGGCCCTACCTGAGCCGTCCGGGTCTCTGCCCTGGGCCCTCCACGCCAGGAGGCCAGCCTTGGGGCGAGCACCCCTCTGGCCCAGACAGGGCCTCCAGCGTGCAGGGAGCGCCCACTTGCCTGTGCTTGGCTTGGTGAACCCTGGCCGCCCCCACCAACCATGTGGGCACACATCCCGCTTCCATCCACACCCCGGCCGGCCTGAGTCACCGGTGACTACGGGGAAGGCTGAGGCCGGAGTTCCCGCAACGGAGACGGCAGCCAGAGCCACCCCAGCGTCTCCTCCTCACCACAGGCCCAAGTGAGGATCCCCAAGGTTTAAGGGACCCATAAGACCACATGCTCCCAGGCGACCAGGACAGTCGGGGTACACGGGGGCAATGCTGTCCTGCCTGCCCCCCTCCCACCCCCGACCTCGGCCTCAGGACCCAGGCCCGGTAAACCCCACTCAGCTGGGGACCAGCCACAAGGACTCCATGGCCCCAAGCCACCCCCTCGAATGCACAGCTCTGCCTTGCAGCCCTCAGATGCCCTTGCAGCAACTCAGGCCCCACCCCACACCCCGAACCCCCAGACAGGACCCGAGCTGTGCAGGTGCCCCACAAGCCAGAGAGATGCTCGGCCTCAGGCCTGAGGAGCCCAAGAAATGTGTTTATTGTTCAAGTTGGCTTGTATTGCTGTGTAGGGTCCGTGTGCACGTGTGCGCGCCCACTACAAGATCCAGGGAAGATGGTACACGGCCGGCAGGACCCGGCTCCCCATCCTTCCCAGGACCCCCGTGTGCAAGTGAGAACCGTGTGCAAAACTTGAGCTGGGTCTGCAGCGGCTTGGAAGGCCCCAGGACCTCGTGCTCCTGGCCTGCAGGGTCTGAGCAGGCGGTGGCCCCGGGCCAATGAGGCCCCTACCTCGTCATTCCCGGCTGCCCCCAGGCAGGGAGTGGGTGGGAGGACCCAGGGGAGGACCGGACGCTAACGGTGTGAAGGAGCGGCCGCAGCACTGCTCAGCCCTCAATAAATACGTAAATAAATAAACAACCAAACACAGACGAAAAGGAACGGACGGGAGATGCGGACAGACGGCGCAGGACGTCCCTGGTGGGGGCCGTGCCCCCTTAAGGCATGTGGGAGGCCGCGGGCCTCTGGCGGTGTTTGGGTCAGAGGCTGGTGGAGGACACGGAGAGCGTGGGCGAGGACGGCGGCGGGAAGTTCAGCAGCTCCAGCACCGCCACGCCCACGCTGCTGCGCCGCGTGAACATGCAGGAGGCGGCCACCCACTTGTTGGTCCTGGGGTTGTACTTCTCGATGGAGTTGAGGCTGGAGCTGCCATCGTTGCCGCCGACTGCATACAGCCAGCCATCCATGGCCACCAGGTCGTGTGTGCTCCTGGGGGGCAGGCGGGGTGAGACCCAGGCGGCAGGAAGGGTGGGGGAGGGGCGCGCCTCGCGAGGGGGCGGGTCGGGGCGAGAACCCCTCCCCGCGGACGGACCTGCGGATGTTCATCGGCGCCACGCTCTCCCAGGCGCCGGCCTTGGGGCTGTATCTCTCCACCGAGTTGAGGCAGCTGGTGCCGTCGTTGCCGCCTGCCACGTACAGGGCGCCCTCCAGCACGGCCACGCCTGCCGAGCTGCGCCGGCTCAGCATGGACGCCACAGGCGACCACACGTTCACCTGGGGGTGAGGGCGCGGGCTGGAGGCAGACCGGCCATGGGCATCCCTCCCCTGCTGCAGCCCCTACTCCAAGGGTGGGTGTCAGGGATGGGTGGGATGTGGGGGACCGCACGCCAGCCAGCGCACAGCACCCGGAAGGGGGGCCGGGAGGGGTGCGCTATGCACCTGGGGCTCGTACTTCTCCACAGTGGCCAGGTGTGACGAGCTGTCGTAGCCGCCCACGGCGTACAGGTTCCCATCTGCAGGAAGCCAACACACCCATGGCACTCCTGCTGCCAGTGGGGTCTCCGGGGTGGGAGCAGATGGGGATGCCCCCAAGGCAGACCCCGTCACCCACCGAGCGTGGCCACACGCACATAGCGCCTCCGGGTGCTCATGGCAGCAACGGACGTCCACGCTCCAGTCAGGGGGTCGTAGCGTTCAGCACTGTGGGCACCACGACCCGCCGCAGCTCAGCAGAGACGGAAGGTGCCCGGCCCCAGGACCTGCCCTCCCCAGCGCTGGAGGCAAACTACTCCCAGACAGGCAGGGCCCGCCGGTGGACACAGGCCCCAAGCTGCCTGGACAACCCTGGTGTGCACCCGCCTGGGTCCAGCCTCTGGACTGGGGGTGAGGACCCTGGAGAGGAAATGGCGCTGTCCCAGCAAAGCCAGGAGCTCAGGCCCAGTGTGACCGTGGCCTGGGCTGAAGAGACCCCACAGACCCCCTCTAGCGGCCACAGTCAGACGCGACCTCGGTGATGGTGACGCAGCCTCACCTCCTGCAGTCGGACCCTGTAAAGCCACCGGGTCCCCAACTACTACCTGTTCAGGCAGGAGGCCCCGTCATAGCCGCCGGCCGAGTACAGGAGCCCGTGCAGGGTGGCCACCCCCAGGCAGCTTCGCCTTGTGCCCATGGACACCTCCGGCTGCCACGTATTAGTCACGGGGTCGTAGGACTCCACCGTAGCCAGGTCCGAGGTCCCGTCGTAGCTAGAACAGACCCACGCAGGTCAAGAACGGCCTAGCGGGCGCGCGCCAGACCCCGGGCCCAAGTCCGGCCTTCAGGCTTACCCGCCCACAGCGTACAGCCGGTTCCCCACAGCAGCCACGCCCACCCGGGCCCTGCGTGTGGACATGGAGGCCACCACGTGCCAGCGGTCGGTGCGCGTGTCGTAGGCCTCACAGTCTCCGTGGATGGCAAACAGGCTTCCACCGCCTGGAGAGGGCAGGTGGAGATGGGGCTTGTATGGGGACCCACCGCTGGGCCATACCCCGGGCTCCTGGGGAGGCCCCTGGATGGAGGAGCGGAGGAGCAGCTCAGCACCTGACCGGCACACATGGAGTGGGCTCGTGCTGGTAAGGCAGGAGGAAAGGGAGCCGGGCGTACCCACGGCGAAGAGCACCGGGCCGGCACCCTCGCAGCGCCGGGGCCGTGTGCGGCTGGTACCCAGGACGCCCCTCTGCTCCGGCAGCAGGTGGAACTTGAGAGCCTCGATGAGGAGGTCCTTGCAGTCGGGGTGGTGCCTCACCAGGCTCTCGGCATCCACGTGGCCCAGCAGGAAGTCACGGCTCAGCAGAGGCAGCCGCACACACTTCATGAGCTGGGGTGCAGGGGGTGCCAAGGTCGGGCGGGACCCGTGGGCACACTTGGCCCCAGGGTTGAGAACCCCCCAGACGCCTGTACCACCTGTGACGAATTCTTCTTCAGACAGGTACGGGCACCACCCCCATGGAGTCCCCGCACTCGGGGAAGGTCAGGGCGCACGGGCCCCTCGGCCACCTGTACCGCCTTCACAGGCACTGTGGGAACCCCCGGGGCTGGGCCTCACCCGTGGGACGTGCTGCCTGCGAGTGTCCACGTCGTGTTTCACCCAGCTCAAGACGGCGCGATAGACCTCCTCCTCTGAAGGCACGTTCAGGCTGTCGCTGGACACCAGTTCCAGCACCTGCAGACGAGGGTCCCCGGCCTGAGATCCGGGGAGGGTCCTGCGTGCCCAGGGAGCCCTGAAGATGCCTAGGAGGGAGGGTCGGGGGTGGGGACTGGGTGCTCACACTGGGAGGGGCTGAGCAGAGTCAGGAGCCACAGAAGTGGCTCCTGGGGGGCCTCTACCCAGACAGGACTTGGGCGTCTCCCGGGGGGCCTCTACCTAGACAGGACTTGGGCGCGTACGGCGGGCACTAAGGCTGGCAGGCAGGGCTGCGTCACGGACACAATGGGATCGGCAGTCAAAGGCAAAGACTTGGGTGGGATCAGGTTGAGAGCGAGGGCTGGGCCGCTGTTACCTGTTTCAGGGGCAGCAGCATGAACTCCTCGGTCTTGGCCACGTCCACGAAGTGCTGCAGCACGTACCTGTGGGCCGCCTTGAGCAGGTCGCTGCAGGAGTGCGCGTCGGCAAAGCCCCGGATGCCCAGGCAGTTGGAGGGGTCCAGCTGACTCAGCAGGAACTTGCAGCAGGCGTCTCGGACCCCGTTCAGCTGCAGCAGGCTGGCGGCGGGGAGCAGCGTCTGCGCGGCAGGGAGAGGCGGGTGAGCCAGGCGCAGGGTGCGGGGCCTCCGCAGGGCCCGAGCCAGGCAGCCTCACCTGCACGTTGCCCTCGCCCACCACGATCTCCGCCGTGTACGCAAACTGCACCAGCTGGTCCAAGGCCTGGGGGTCGATGTCGTGCAGCGTCACGTGGGTCTGGCGACTCTCGCTCATCTCATCTGTGGGGACAGAGGGTCAGGGCGGCCGGCCCGAGGGGCCCACGGAGCGCACAGCGCCGGGCGGGCCGCGCAGGACGATACTTGCTTGTGAACATGGCGTGGAAGTACGGGCTGCAGGAGGCCAGCACCACTTTGTGCGCGCGGATCTCCTTGGCGGCCACGTGCAGGACGATGTCGCACAGGAGGCCGCGCTGGCGCATGCGGCTCATGGCCACGAAGGCGTCGTGGTAGTGGCGCTTGGAGTTGTGGGCCACGCTGTGGCCCTCGCGGCTCAGCAGCTGCACGGCTCCCTCCATGGGGGCCGCGGGCCGCGCCTGCCGGGGCCGCGCGCGCTCCGCCTCGGGGCTGCGGGGGGCGGGGGGCGGGTCAGGCTTCGCCCCTCCCGAGCCTCCGGGCCAGACCGGGCAGCGCGCGGGGACCGCGCCCGACCCCCGCCCGCGCCCCGCCCCGCGCCCCCGGCGCCGCTCCGAGCCCGGCCGCGCCGCGCCCCAGGCCGCCCTCTCGGGCCCGCTCCGGGCGCCCCCGCTCAGCGCCCCAGTCCCGACCTCCCCGGGCCCCGGGCGCGGCCCCCGCCCCTTCTGCGGACGGACCGAGGGCCGGGGCCGGGCAGGTCCCCCCGCACTCACGCCGGCGGCTGCGGCGGTGGCGGCGGCGGCGGCGCCTCGGGCCCGGGCCCCGGGCTGCCGTGCTCCGGGCTCTGCGTTCTGCCGGCCGGGCGCTCGCTGCGGGGCTGCATTCGGCCGCCGGACCCGCCGCGGATTCGCGGAGGACGCGCGGGCGGACAGGCGCGGGGACGGCCGGAGGGCTGCTCGGCGGTGGCGGCCCGCTAAGCGTCGCTCGCTCCCGCGGCTCCCGCCCGCAGCCGCTGTTTCTCGGCGCCGCCCGTCCCGCCTCCCGAGAGGCGTGGGGTACTGGACGATAGACGCCGATCCTCCGAGCGCCGCGCCTCGGGTCCGCCGCCTGCGCCGAGAAGCCCCCCAGGCCTCGCTCTCCTCCTCCTCTTCCGCGAAGCCCCCCTCCCGGGAGCCCCGGGGTCCCGCGTGCGGAGTCCGGGCCACTCCGCCCGCGTGCGCCTGGCGCGCCGCGTCGCGGGGTCTCGCTGCCTGGGCCCGCGGGTTTCAGGCTGGCAGCGGGGAAGGAAGCAGCGGCCCCACCACCGCTCCTCGGGTTTCCCGCTGGGCTTTTTTTTTTTGAGACGGAGTTTCGCTCTTGTTACCCAGGCTGGAGTGCAATGGTGCGATCTCGGCTCACCGCAACCTCCGCCTCCTGGGCTCAGGCAATTCTCCTGCCTCAGCCTCCTGAGTAGCTGGGATTACAGGCACGCGCCGCCACGCCCAGCTAGTTTTTTGTATTTTTAGTAGAGACGGGGTTTCACCATGTTGACCAGGATGGTCTCGATCTCTGGACCTCGTGATCCACCCGCCTCGGCCTCCCAAAGTGCTGTGATGACCGGCGTGAGCCACCGCGCCCGGCTCCCACTGGGCTTATTGTTGATCTGTGGCAGCTCTTTACATAGGGGCCCCGCCGTCGCGGCCTGGCATGGTGGCAGGCGCGCCCTCGGACCCCGGCTGGGCTGCGGGCGCGGGGGAGTCCCGGCCTCTCTTCCCGGGGGAGCCCCGGTGTCGCCGCGTCCTACGGAGCCGGGCGCCGAGTCCGCACCTCGCATGCGAACGCGGCCGCCCGCCCCGAGGCCGACTGCGCGGCGGTCGGAGAACCGTAGAGCCACTCGGCTGGGCGGGGCGCGGCACGGGGCGGGGCCTGCGCGGCGGAAGTGCGCGACACGCGCGGCATTCTGGGACCGGAAGTGGGGCGCGCGCCACGGGCTGGTGTCATGGCGTCTCCGATTCGCCGCAAGAGGTAAGCCGTGGGTCCGAGGGCCGGTTCGGCCTCCCGGTGGGTGTCTGCGTCCAGGAGAGGTCTTCCGGCTCCTCTCAGCGGGGCTGGGGCCAGCTGGGCCTGCGGGCAGCTGTGACTCTTGCGTGACCCGCAGGCGCCTGGCGGAGCTGACGGTGGACGAGTTCCTGGCCTCGGGCTTTGACACCGAGTCCGAGTCCGAGTCCGAAAACACCTCAGAAACGGAGACGGGGGAGGCGCGCGAGGCTGCGCGGGGTCCGGATGAGCAGGGCGGGAGCCCACCGGCAAGGTGAGCGGGGACGTGCGTGGGCAGAGCCCCCCAGCTAGCCCTGTGGCCCACCCCGCCACGAGGTCTCGGGGCCGAGGCCTAAGGCCCTCCGACCACTATCCTCCAGTCCCTTCGGCCTAACCTGGTCTTTCATCCGCTGTGTACTGAGCTCCTGCTCGGCGCCAAACCCTGTCCTGGGGAGTGTGGGCGTGTGGGTGAGTTCCGCAAAAGCCTCTTCTCGATCTAGGAGAGCTCTCGCGGTCTTGGCTAAGTGACCGCGTGCAGTGTAGTAGGAGAGAGAGAAGTGCTGGCGAGGGAAAGAGAAGAGAGAGGGGCTGGTGAGAGAGTTGCAGGGGAACCGAGTTGCTCTGTCAGAAGGAGCGGCGGCTCAGCGCGGTGGCTCGCTGACCCCTGTAATGCCAGCAAGGCGGGCGGATCACCTTAGTTCCGAGACCAGTCTGACCAACATGAGGAAACACCGTGTCTACTGAAACTACAGAAATTAGCCGGGCGTGGTGACGCGCGTCTGTAATCCCAACCACTCGAGCGGCTGAGGCAGGAGCATCGCTTGAACCCGGGAGGTGGAGGTTGCAGGGAGCCGAGATCGCGCCATTGCACTCCAGCCTGGGCGACAGCGAGACTTCGTCTCAAAAAAGAAAGAAAGAAAAAAGCCGGATGTGGTGGCACACGCCTGTACTCCCAACGCTTCCGGAGGCTGAGGCAGGAAAATCATTGAAACCTGTGAGGCGGCGGTTGCGTTGAGCAGAGAGTAGAGATCGCACCACTGCATTCTATGCTGGGTGACAGAGTGAGACTGTGTCTCGGGGAGGGGAGGAAACGGGGGTGAGGCAGATGTGGCTGTTAGAGAAGATGATGTCTGAATAAATACCGGGAGTGAGGAAGCCACGCAGACAGTAGGGGAAGCGTGTCCGGGGATTTCAGGTACCAGGAACAGCGAAGGCCTTGTGGTGAGAGCCTTTGAGGACTGCAGAGGTGGATGTGGCTGGGGCAGAGTGAGCCCAGGACAGTGAAGAGCCGGGTGCCCTAGGCTGTCATAAGATTACCGTGTAAAACAGGAAGTTACTTCCAGGTTTGAGCGGTAGAGTGCCTTGTAGGTGGCGAGGGTGGAAACGGAGAGACTTGTTATTTTTCGAGATGGGGTTTCGCTCTGTCACCCAGGCTGGACTGCAGCGGCGCGATCTCAACTCACTGCACCCTCCGCCTCCCAGGTTCAGGTTGTGCTCCTGCCTCAGCCACCCAAGTAGCTGGGATTGCAGGCATACACCACTACACCCGTCTAATTTTGTGTTTTTAATATAATAGAGATGTGGTTTCTCCATGTTGGTCAGCTTGGTCTCAAATTCCTGACCTAAGGTGATCTGCCCGCTTCAGCCTTTCAAAGTGCTGGAATTATAGGCATGAGCCACTGCGCGCAGCAGGAGAGATCTTTGTTAACTGAGAGTTGAGCTACGTGGTGTTTTGAGAAGAGGCAAGAACAAGTTTGAGAACGTTGCTGATAAGATGTGATGACAGGTTGCATGCTGGGTGTTAGAGATGGAGATTTGCCTTTCATCTGAGCCCCTGAAGGGTGAAGTTACTAGCAACCTAGGTGGAACATGGCGCAGGCACAGCCAGTCAAGGGAGACCAGGGCTGGGAGTCCTGTATGTTGAGTCTGAGGGTATGTTGTAGAGAGGCTGTTGGGTAGGAGAGATGGGTACCTCCTGGCGATCCTCCTGCCTTGCTTGTTGGTAACTCTTGTGAAGGAAGCAGACGAACCCTCCAGGCCTCTCCACACCTCTCCCTGCCCCCTCCACTTCCACTTTCCACTGGGGTCACTGACTTCTGCCTTCTCAGCCAGCGTAAAGGCCGTGCCTCTGAGCACAAAGACCAGCTCTCTAGGCTGAAGGACAAAGACCCCGAGTTCTACAAGTTCCTGCAGGAGAACGACCAGAGCCTGCTAAATTTCAGCGACTCGGATAGCTCTGAAGAGGAAGAGGAGCCGTTCCACTCCCTGCCGGATGTGCTGGAGGTGAGGGCCTGGGCCGAACTGTGAGGGAGCAGTCGTAGCCTGTGTACTGTCCTTCAGCTCAGCCTTTCTGTGCAGGAAGCCAGTGAGGAGGACGATGATGGAGACACAGTCCCCAGAGGGCTGAAGGGGAGGAAGAATTCTGTTCCTGTGAGTCTCGCCATGGTTGAGAGGTGGAAACAGGCAGCAAAGGTGAGCAGTGGCAAGAGGGGGCAGCTGGGTCCCCCAGGCAGGAATCTGTCTTCGCCCCACTGAAGGGGCCTGAGGTTGTGCTGGTGGGAGGAGCTCTTGTCCAGCAGGGGACACTGGAGCCCCATTCAGCGTAAGTGACGACACGCTGATCTTCCTGCTTGGTTGCCCCAGCACCATGTGCTCAGCTCTGGGCAGATTTCAGAGGCTCTGTTGGCTCTCTGCTCACCCAGGGCAGCCCCACTGCGGGTGGGATGGACTGTCTGTACCTTAGTTGGTGGGGGGAGCTGGGGTCCTGCAGAGCCTTTCACAGGTTTTTGCAGGGACTAGGATAGAGAGAGTTGCATATACCACCTGGAGCTGTCCGTAGTCCAGGATCTGGAACCCCCATCCCTTTCCCTGGGTCTCCTGAGCCAGACTCCCTGCCCTTCCCAGAGGATTCTGGACTTTGTTTCCATTTTTGTTACCAGTATGGGGCTCTGTGGCCTCACCCCCACCTCTGCCCTGCATCTGAGGGTGAGGGTGGGGGTGCCTTCCTCTGGAGCCACGGTTTCCACTCTGCTGAGTGCAGTCTCTGCTCCCCTGACACCCCTGGTACTTATTCTTGCTCCTTCAGCAACGCCTCACTCCAAGGCTGTTCCATGAAGTGGCACAGGCGTTCCGAGCAGCCGTGGCCACCACCCAGGGAGACCAGGAAGGTGCTGAGGCCAACAAATTCCAAGTCACAGACAGTGCTGGTGAGTGCTGGGGGACCCTGGCACTCGTGTTCTCTGTTGCCCTCTCTGTCCCATGAGTGCAGCTAGGCCCTTTTGTTGCAGTGTTCAATGCTCTGGTCACCTTCTGTGTGAGAGACCTCATTGGCTGTCTCCAGAAGCTTCTGTTCGGGAAGGTGTCAAAGGACAGCAGCAGGTAAGAGGGATGGGGTGAGGAGGGTGGGTTGGAAGCAGAGCAGGTGAGAGGGAAGGGGTGAGGGGGTAGGGTGGAAGGTGGGTCAGGACCACACAGAGGAGAAGCCAGAGGCCTTGTGGCCAGGACAGAGCCAGGCTCTTCTTAGGGACCCCGAGCAGGCAGGGGTCACAAGGGACCCTTGGGATGAGGCTGGCACTGGGGACCAGGTGGATCAGCCCCGCCTTCTTTCCTTCCTCCAAAGACGCGTTCTCCGCTCAGTCTCAGAAGGCTGCAGCGTGCAGCTGCCTTTGCTGTCCGATTTTCCCGGGTTAGGGTTCTTGTTCTCCCCTCCTTCATAAGGATGTGTAGGTCCTGTCTATGCTCCTTGGCCTTTGCACTGTGGCTGGCCTGTCTCCTGGAGCTGGGCGTGTCTGTAGACAGGAGCCTCATCAATGCTGACAGCCTGAGGGCCTCCACTTCCCCCTTGAAGGAAGGTTGGGCAGAGAAGGCCGTGGAAGGTTTTAGAGAAGACAAACGTACGGCAGAGCGTTGGGTAGAGCGTGGATCACGCTGTAGTCCCGGGGGGGCCGTGCAGCTATGTGACCTTAAAGCTGTGGAGGCCTGGAGTTGAACTTGCTCCGATACACCTTCCAAAGGGAGAAAGGAGACCCACGGGAGAGGCCTTGCTGTCAGCATCTTGGGGCAGGGAACAGTGGCTCAGGAGATGGGGGGCACTGTTGCTGGTGGGTAGTGGTTGGGGCTGGACAGAGCTGAGCTGTGTCCACATGAAGGCAGTGCTGTCTGGAGGGGATGGGAAAACTGGCAGACAGGGTGGAGCGACAGGCAGCGATTGGGGGGCAGCAAGCATTGCAGTCTGAGCCACCAGGTCGGGGACCTTTGTCCAGGCAGCAGCTGCACCAGAGGTGGCCAGGCCTTGGGGGAGCAGCTGCCTGCCTCCTGTGCCCGGCAGCCAGTGTCAGTGCAGGTGTGAGGAGGGCTGGGGACGGGGGCCTTTCTGGGGCCTGCCCTCTGCCCTTCCATGCTTCTGCAGCTTTCACGGAGCACCTGCTGTGTGGGCTCGGAATGCCTGGGTGTGAATGCTTTTTTTTCGTTAAGAGGCAGGGTCTTGCTCTGTCTTCAGCGTGGAATGCAGTGGTGTCATCGTAGGTCACTGCAATACCTACCTCCTGGATTCAAGTGATTATCCCACCTTATCCTCCTGAGTAACCGGGACTATGCCCCCAGGCCTGGATGATTTGTTTACTTTTTTTTTTGAGATGGAGTCTATAGCCCAGGCTGGAGTGCAGTGGCACGATCTCGGCTCACTGCAGCCTCTGCCTCGCAGGTTCAGACAATTCTACCTCAGCCTCCCAAGTAGCTGGGATTACAGGCATGAGCCACCATGCCCAGCTAGTTTTTGCATTTTTTAGTAGAGGCGGGGTTTTGCCATGTTGTCCAGTCTGGGCTCGAACTGCTGACCTTGTGAGGCCCGCCTTGGCCTCCCAGAGTGCTGGGATTGTAGGCATGAGCCACCTCGCCTGGTCGATTATTTTTTGGACATTTTCGTAGAGACTGTGTCTCACTATGTTGCCCAGGCTGGTTTCAAACTCCTGGGCTTAAGTGATCTTCCTGCCTCGGTCTTCCAAAGTGCAGTGACCACTGGCATGAGCCTCCACACCTGGCCTCCACACCACAGCAAATGTGGGCCGAAGAAAACTAGCCTGCAGCAGTTGGTGGTTCCTGGATCAGACCCCAGAGGTGCTGGGTGCCAACTGCCGGGCTCAGGGGTCTCGTGGTCCCATGGTGGGAGTGTGACCAAGGGGACCTAGAAGAGGTTCATGTCTGAGGGAGGGAGCTGGAGGCTGGGACTTACGGGGACTCAGGGAGGTGGCCAACCCTAGGCCTAGGGCAGACGGGTGTTCACAGCTGCTGAGGGAGGGGCTCGTACCGATGAGAGGGTCCTGCTGAGTCCCTGTGCCTGTCCAGCTGTAAGGGCCTCTCAGCTTTTTTGAGGGGTGAGAAGGGGGTCTCCCTGCAGGGTTATGGATGCCGTGCTGGCCAGGACATGCGCCAGCACGCTGTGTAGCCTCATGTTTGAGCTGTGGGGCTTCCTAGACAGGGATGGGTGATCTCTTTGCAGGGTGCTACAGCCGTCTAGCAGCCTCCTGTGGGGGAAGCTCCGTGTGGACATCAAGGCATACCTGGGCTCGGTCATCCAGGTGCTTTTCCGGTGGGGAGGGCACGGGGGCCTGGCGGTATCCATTGGTCCAGCCCTTGCTTGTCTCCCAGAATGCATTGCTGTGGGGCCTCACTGTCCCCTCCTGCCCCCAGCTGGTGTCCTGTCTGGCGGAGGCGACGGTGTTGGCGGCTGTGCTGCGGCATATCAGCGAGCTGGTGCCCTGCTTCCTGACCTTCCCCAAGCAGTGCCGCATGCTGCTAAAGGTGGGTGGCTTGGTCCCCTCCGTGTGTCTGTCATGGGGCTGGGGGCCACGTGGCTTCCCCCACCACATCCCACTCCTGGCCGGGCACAGGTCAGGTGGCGCCCACACCCCACTGGCTCTGCTTGGCCAGAGAGATCACAGAAGCACCTGGCCACCACCCCGACCCAGGGTTCCCGTCTCAAGGAGCCCCCACCCATCCGGGCAGCGTGGCTCAGTCTGTGAGCACAGCCACGGTGAGGTGTCCTCTTCCCGATGTGATCTGGCCTACGTTGGGGTGTCTGACACGGTAGGCTTTCGTGGTCGTCTTCTCGCAAGGAGTAACACGCCTGTTCTGTTTTCACTTCTGTGACTGAGCTCCTAACTCAGGGCTCCACCAAGGTGCTTTGGGAAGAGCCGGTGGCCGTGGCAGCCTTTGCCTGGCTGGGGAGGGCGTGCCGTCCCTGGGGCGTCCCAGCTGAGGAGGCCGGGGGGCCAGCAGTGACGTCTGAGTGACGTCTGATCTTGTGCAGAGAATGGTGGTCATGTGGAGCACTGGAGAGGAATCCCTGCGGGTGCTGGCTTTCCTGGTCCTCAGCAGAGTCTGCCGGCACAAGAAGGATGCTTTTCTCAGCCCCGTCCTCAAGGTAGTGGTGGGCTCTGCCTCTGTGTCCCTCAGCGTCTGTGTTGGAAATGCCAGCCTATGGGCGGGGCAGGCTGCCCGTGTGGTTGGTACCCCTCAGTGGGCCTTGCACTGTGGCTCTGGGCAGACCTGGGCCCTTGGATCATGAATTTCTCACAGAGCAGCTGGGGGTGGTAGGAAGGGAATGGAGCCCCCCGGACCGTGCTCCACGCAAGTTCCCCCAAGTGAGGGCCTCCCTAGCTGGAGGAGGACACTGGGTGTTGGGGGCAGTTGGGACCTGGGGCCATGGCCAGGGCAGCCTCTACTGCCCGGCCCCAAGTCGTGAGTGGCCCCCACACTGGCCCAGAGTGCAGCAAGAGCTTCTGCCTCAGCTCCTCCCAGGCCTGAGGCTGGTGGGCACATGGGGGTGGGGGCCGTGCAAGGGGCTGCAGCTCTTGCTCGAGGCCCAGCTGTGAGGGAAAGGCCCAGGTGTTCACAGGAGGCTTAGAGCGGGCGGTGGAGCTGCATGGCCCTGAACCCAGGGGCTCTGACTGGGGTCCCTTTGCAGCAAATGTACATCACGTACGTGAGGAACTGCAGGTTCACCTCGCCTGGCGCCCTCCCCTTCATCAGCTTCATGCAGCGGACCCTGACAGAGCTGCTGGCCCTGGAGCCGAGTGTGGCCTACCAGCACGCCTTCCTGTACATCCGCCAGCTGGCCATCCACCTGCGCAATGCCATGACCACCCGCAAGAAGGTGTGTGGTGGGGCCCTTCAGGCTCAGGCCGAGTGTCGGGGGCAGCCCAGGTGCCCGACCCTCGGCAGGGCCTGGGGCCTCCCTGAGTCTGTTGGAGGCAGCCCAGCTCCTTGGTGCCGTGGGTCTTGCCGGTGGGGTAAAGGTGGGGAGGTGTGCAGGTGAGGAGGTGACCCAGCCTGGCCTGGAGCTGACGTGGTTCTCCCTGGGCAGGAGACGTACCAGTCTGTGTACAACTGGCAGTACGTGCACTGCCTCTACCTGTGGTGCCGGGTCCTGAGCACCGTGGGCCCCAGCGAAGCCCTGCAGCCCTTGGTCTACCCCCTTGCCCAGGTCATCATCGGCTGCATTAAGTGAGTGGTGGGGTGAGCAGGGCTGTCCCGGAGGGTCAGGAGAAGCAACTGAGCTGGGACCAGTGCCTCTGATGTTCAGGGCCTTGGGGCCTCAGTCTGTGTCCCGACCATCCTTGAGGAAGGGCTGGGGTCCCTGTGCAGTCTGCAGTTAATTTGGGTCCATGACGTGGGTTCCTGGGTGGGGCGTGTCTGGTATGGTGCTCTGTGTTTTGGGTGTGAGCATTCGGGAGGGTGGGGGCGGGGAAGGGGCTGCAGCAGGAAAAGCTGGAAGCTGCACTTTGGCCGGACACGTCTGTGGCCTCTCTGGCCAAGAGGGGGCATCTCTGCCTGAGCTTTAGAAACCCGGAGTTGGGAAGGGAGGTCCCAGGGAAGAAGCAGGAAAGCGCGTACAGACGACTCCTGGCACTATGTTAAAACGAAACTAAGTTGAAACCTGGACAAGGCCCCCGAAGCCCCGTTGCTGAGCAAGGAGGCAGACCTTTCAGGTTGAGACTGGCCTTGTCCTGCTTGAGGGATCTGATGCCTTTAGTGGGGAGGGGTCCAAGACAGCAGTGGGTGGGGCAGGGGCTGCCGGAGCCTCTGCTCACACGCCTTCCCATGCCCAGGCTCATCCCCACCGCCCGCTTCTACCCGCTACGAATCCACTGCATCCGTGCCCTGACGCTGCTCTCGGGGAGCTCGGGGGCCTTCATCCCAGTGCTGCCTTTCATCCTGGAGGTGAGTGGGGCTGCCTGCTCCTGTGGGGAGCATCTGCCACCCGGGGAGTCTGTGCTGAACCATCCAGCGACCTCCCAGAGCTCTGGCCGCCTCCTTGTTTTGGGCGTCTTGAGGACACTTCTCCGTGAGCCAGGGGCAGTGTTGGTAGATGTGGGGCCACGGGGGATGAAGACAGCAAGCTGTGCTTGAGGGGGCCAGACCCTGACCCTACAGGTGCTTCCCCAGGACAGACCATGACCCTACAGGTGCTTCTCCAGGACTGGCGTTAGGAGGGAGCACTGGGTGAAAACCCCAGTCTGATTGCTGAGCCGTGCACTCCCAAATGGCCCGCCCAGTGTGCATGTGTGGGGGGTTGTCCATCTGTGGATGTGTGTGTGCACCATCTGTGAGTGCATGCGTGTGCATTGGTATGTGGATGTGTGTGCACATCGGTACGTGGATACAGGTGTGCATCTGTGTGTGCATGTGTGCATCTGTGTAAACCATCTGGGTGCATGTGTGTACCTGTGCACATCTGGTGTGTACATCTGGATGCGTGTGCATATCTGGGTGTGTACATGTGTGCATCTGTGTAGAAGTGTATCTGCATCTGTGCATGTGTGCACTATCTGGGTGCATGTGTGTGCATCTTGCACATCTGAGTGTGTACGTGTGCACATGGGGTGTGTATGGTTGCATCTGTGGGTGCATGCATGCATGTGCGTCTGTATGCATTTGCACATCCGGGTGTGTGTGTGCATGTGTATGCACATCAGTCCATGCGTTTGTGTGCATGCACATGTGTATCCCTGAGTGCCTGTGTGCCTGCATGTGTGTGTACGTGTGCGCTTACCTGTATGGGTGCATATCTGCTTGCGGGCATGCATGCATGTGTACACCTGTGTGTATGCACTTGCATGCATCCGTGTATGTACCTGTGCATGTGGGCGTACTTGCACACATCTGTGTATGTAGCTGTGTGTATGCATGTGTACACCTTTGTGCATGTACGTGTATGTACCTGTGCATGTGCATGCTTACATGCATCTGTGCATACGTATCTGTGCATGTGTATACCTGTGTGTGTGTGTACCTGTACATGTGGGCATGCTTGCACACGGTGTATATGTAGTTGTGCATGTATACAGCTGTGTGCATGTATGTGCAGGTACCTGTGCATGTGTGCATACTTGCATGCATCTGTATATACGTGCCCGTGTATGTACCTGTGCGTGTGGACGTACTTGCACACATCTGTGTATGTAGCTGTGTGTATGCATGTGTACATCCTTGTGCATGCATGTGTATGTACCTGTGTGTACATGTTTGCATGCATCTGTGCATACGTACCTGTGCATGTGTACACCTGTGTGCGTGTGTATCTGTACATGTGTCTGTACCTGTGCATGTGGGCATACCTGCACACGGTGTATATGTAGTTGTGCATGTGTACAGCTGTGTGCATGTATGTGCATGTACCTGTGCATGTGTGCGTATTTGCATACTTGCATGCATCTGTGTATACGTACCTGTGTACACCTGTGTGCGTATGTACCTGTGCATGTGTGTGTACTTGCATCCGTGTATGTACTTGTGCGTGTGGGCGTACTTGCACGCATCTGTGTATGTAGCTGTGTGCATGTGTACACTTGTGTGCGTGTATTTGCACGCGTCTGTGCATACATACCGGTGCATGTGTACACCTGTGCGTGTGTATGTACCTGTGCACGTGTACTTGCATGCATGTGTATATAGCTATGGATGTGTACGTCTACAGTGTGTGTGTATGTTCCTGTGCATGTGTGCTTGCATGCATCTATGTAGCTGTGCATGTGTGCATATGTACACCTGTGTGCGTGCATGTGTATGTACTTGTGCTTGTGTGCGTACTTGCATGCATCTGCATATGTACCTGGGCGTGTGCATGCACATGCATCTGTGTGTGTGTAGTGCATGAGTGCATGCTTGCATGCATCTGTGCACATGCACATGCCAGTCAGGTTGGGAAAGGTTGGAGTCTGAAACTGACATTCAGTGGGTGGGCTAGGCACCAACCCACCATAAATTTAGGAATTCACGATCTCCACTCCGGTTAATGAGTTGTTAGTCTCATGAAGGCTAAGAGTCATGTCGCACCTGTCCTTGGGGCTGGGTCCCTAGGTTGCCAGGTCCAGAAGGTATGGAAGTGCCAGGCATGTTCTGATTGCCCTTCCACCGAGGCAGGGATGTTGCGGTTTGTGACTGTGTGAGCGTCTCTGGGGAGCCGTGTTCACTCCTATGGCAGCCAGCAGTGGCCTCTGCCCGCCGAGCCCTTGGCCTGGCTGCCGTCTTGGCACCCCGCTGTGGACCTGCAGCTCTGCTGGCCGGCTCCCCACATGCTTCGTGCCTGTCCCCTGTGCCCCGTCTCCCCTGGCTGCATGCTGTCCTGCAGCATCTGTGTTTCTTGACCTCTGCACTGCCCTGGTTCACTGCAGCTGCACCCTGAAGGCCCCTCTCATGCAGGGATGCAGGCTTCTCCTGGAAAAAGCAAACCCCAAAGGCTAAAGCAAAGCCCTCAGCTGTAGGCTGTGTCTGCCCTTCCCTTGGTGCCTGGGCAGGAACCCACTCACCCACCCATCCTTCAGCCCAGGCTGGAGAAAAGGCAGTGCCCTCCCAGGAGTTCTTCCCTGCTGGGGCGTTTTTCCATCTGGAGCTGAGCTCAGCTGTCCAGCAGCCACCCCTGCTGAGTGGGGTCTCTTCCTGAGGCTTCCCCGCTTGTGCCCCCTGTAACCTGCTTTTGACCTCTGGGTGCCCCAGCATGTATCCTGGATCTCTCTGGTTCACAGCCTGAGGGCTCCTGTGTGAGGGGTCTCCTGGTGGTTGGGGAGGGGTCACAAGGCTGAGAAGCTGGACTAGACTCCCTCTTTGCTTTTCCTGGCACATCCCATGGAGGCGCAAAGCCTATGGCTACTGTGGAGATACGGATTGAAGGGGGTGCCCAGGTCTCCCGTGACCTCCATCCATCCCTTCCTGTGCTCAGCACTCCTCGCTGTTGCTGCTTCGTCCTCTGGCTGTTGGGGACGCAGCCTGTGGCACGTGGCGCTGCCGTGCTGAGGGCTGGGGCGGGCCATGGGGCCATGTCATCGGGAACAGGGCTGTCCTGGTACACTGTGTGGCGGGGAACTCCTAGGTCTCCAGACACTGATCCTTAGTGCTTCCCAGGATTTTGGGAGAGGGCCTGTGTTCCTGGTCCTCTACTGACTCTGGGACACAGCAGGCTGTGTGGATCCACGGGGCTGGTGCCACGTCTGGCTGCTCATCTCTGGTCTCAGGTCAGGTCTCCTTGTGCTGAAGCCTGAGGACCAGGGTGCATCCTGGCATGGGGTCGAGGCAGACCCTGACACGCCCTCGGGGCAGATGTTCCAGCAGGTCGACTTCAACAGGAGGCCCGGGCGCATGAGCTCCAAGCCCATCAACTTCTCTGTGATCCTGAAACTGTCCAACGTCAACCTGCAGGAGAAGGCATACCGGGTGAGACTGGCCTCCTGGGGTGGAGCCTGGGCAGCTCTGGGATGGGGTTGGCTGTGCCAAGGTGGATGGGAGGGGCTGGCACCCTCCAAGGTCAAGCATGGACCTTCATGGTCTCCAGGGCTGGGGGCCTGGGGGCCTCTTCCTTGAGTCCCTGCCCTGGAGATGGGACTGACCTGACAGCCTGAGGGTTGGGGCCCGAGTGCCCAGCCCTCACCTCTACCTCACGCACTCGGCCCTCCCCTGCTCTCAGGATGGCCTGGTGGAGCAGCTCTATGACCTCACCCTGGAGTACCTGCACAGCCAGGCACACTGCATCGCCTTTCCGGAGCTGGCCCTGCCTGTGGTCCTGCAGGTGCGTGTCCTGCCCACACCCCTCAGGGGCTGCTTGGTGGCCGACTCAGTATATCTTACATATGGGCTCAGCTGCCTGGGGGTGGTAGGAGGTGCAGTCTTTCTGGGTACCGGGCCGAGGACGAGCCTGACTGGTATGGACACGGGCAGCTCCTCCCTGGGGCCCCCATGTAGGGGCTGTTGGGGTGTGGGAGCCTGAGGGTGTCCTTGGGGGCCATGGGGCTCTGATGGGTTCTAAGCCACTCAGGAGGTTTGAGGCAGGCCCGGGCAGTGGGCCAAGGACCCCAGGAGCACAGCCGCCCTCTCTGCAGGCTGGAGCCACATGGCCCATCTTCAGTGTTGGGGCTGTGTACTGACCCTGGCTCAGGCTGGTCCCTGGCCACACAGTTCCCCAAGGCCCTCCCTGGGGTGGGTAGTGGGCTCTCAGGTGTCAGGAAAACCCAGCCTGCCTGGCCAGGTACCCTGAGTCAGCCCCGCCTTAGGCAGGGGTTGGGTGGAGTGGGTGGTTCTCCCTGTCCTCAGAAGGTCCTTCTGGGCCCCACAGGAGGTCTCTTTGCTCAGCCCAAATTTTTCTAACCTCAGGGAGAGCTGTGCCTAATGGTGGGGGTGGGGGTCCTTGCTGTCTGGCCCTAGTGGCTAGAATCAGATTTGCCAATTACAGGTCTGTGGGGTGCAGGGTGGGAGATGCTCTCCTGAGCCACAACTGGTCAGAGGCTCATCCAGACACAGGTGTGTGCGTAGGTGTGTACTTGGTCACATGTGATCCCACACATCGTCACATGCACACACAGGACTGTCACATGCACAGAGCTGGGACCTCCTTTCCCGGGGCGGGAGCACTCACAACAGGGGCAGCAGCCTCTGTTCCTCCCGTGTCCTCTGGGGTGGTGACGCCTGGGATTTGGCGCACCTCTGCTCTGGGCTCAAGGTCCCAGGGTTGGGGTCTGGAGTAGGGTCAGGAAATGTTTTTGTTAAGGTAGACACAGCAGCCTTTGTGGAGTGTGCCATTTCTCAAATGTTCAGCTGCACAGGCAGCCACAACAGCCATGAAGATGGACGCGTGGCTGTGCACCAGTAAAGCTCTTTATTTAGGTAGAGTCTTCCTGTGTCACCCAGGCTGGAGTGTAATGGTGCCATCTCTGCTCACTGCACTTTCTGCCTCCTGGGTTGAAGTGATTGTCCAGCCTCAGCCTCACAAGTAGCTGGGCCTACAGGCACCTATCACCACACCTGGCTAATGTTTGCGTTTTAGCAGAGATGGGGTTTTGCCATGTTGGGCAGGCTGGTCTTGAACTCCTGACCTCAGGTGATCTGCCCGCCTCAGCCTCCCGAGGTGCTGGGATTACAGTTGTGACCCACCGCGCCCGGCAGAAAACTTTATTTCCAGAGACGATGAGCAGGTCGGGTTGGGCCGGAGGGTGGGCTGATACTGCGTCTGCCACCCCAGCTGTAACACGTGCCCTTGGGCTCTGGGATGGAATCCGTGTCCCCCTCCTGGTGTACTGCCTCCCTGTGGCTGCCACGTGTGGCTTTGCACAGGACCTGAGCCAGCCGTGCTCATGGAGCTGCTCTGGGCTTCTGTGGCTGACCCCCTCTCTTCCGCAGCTGAAGTCCTTCCTCCGGGAGTGCAAGGTGGCCAACTACTGCCGGCAGGTGCAGCAGCTGCTTGGAAAGGTTCAGGAGAACGCGGAGCACATCTGCAGCCGCCGCCAGAGGCTCTCCTTTGGCGTGTCTGACCAGCAGGCAGTGGTCCGTGGGCCCTGGGGGCAGTGCCGGCACCTGCCAGGGTATGGCTGGGATGTGGGGGTCTGCCCAGGGTCGGGCATGACCCCAAACTCTCCCAACCCCCCAGGAAACCTGGGAGAAGCTGACCCGGGAAGAGGGGACCCCACTGACCTTGTACTACAGCAGCTGGCGGAAGCTGCGGGACCGGGAGATCCAGCTGGAGATCAGCGGCAAGGAGCGGGTACGGCTCGGGGTGGGGGGCCTGGGGTGTGATCCGCTGGGTGTTAGAACCAGTGCCAGTTACGGTGGGGTCTGGGGGTGTGGTGTGATTTGCTGGGTTTCAGATCTAGTTCACTGACTATGACTTGAGGCCAGGCTGAGGGTTTGGAAGCAGTGCCAGGCAGCAGGGGCTGTGCTGCTGGGCCTCCCTGACAGGGCATTGCCCCAGGCGGTTCAGCTTGGAGAGGAGTTGGTGTTGCAGAACTGGCCAGAGCCAGGAGTTCCCAGGGAGGGGAGGAAACACCCCCTCAGGCCTGATGGGTTCGGTGCTCTGGGGCAGTGGAGTGGCTGGACTGACATCGGCGTCCGGCATGTGGGCAGCAGGGGTAGGTGGGGCGAATTGGGAAGGGCTCTGCTTTTGACCTTGGACATGGAATGAATAACTTGGAGGATGGCTTTGTGCTGATTTGGGAACAGCGGGGGCTAGAAATTGGCCACAGGGTCCTGGTGGTGGGTCTGGTGACGCCCGTCCCTGCTGTGGTCGTCAGCCCCTGCCTACTTCTACCTGAGGCCCTGACTCCTTGCCCTTCCAGCTGGAAGACCTGAACTTCCCGGAGATCAAACGTAGGAAGGTGGCCGACAGGAAGGATGAGGACAGGAAGGAGTTTAAAGACCTCTTTGACCTGAACAGCTCTGAAGAGGATGAGGACACGGAAGGCTTCTCAGAGAGAGGTGGGGCTTCGAGGTGTTCCCAGGGAAATGGGCATGATGGCTCTCCGGGACTTCCCAGAGCCACAGGGTCACTTGCATCCACCCTGCAGGGCTCACAGCCTCTGGCCCAGCTGGGGCCAACCTCAGTGTTACCCAGGCTTCTGGTGCCGGCTCCTTCCTTCTTTGGGATAAAGGCCTACTGGGATGGGTAACATGTGTCCCCAGGCCTGTGACCTCGCAGTTCCTCCCCAGTAATCCCCTCCACCAGCTTGAAGTCAGTGGAGGAAAGGCATCCAGCAGGGGTGCAAGCCTGGCCACCTTCCTGCCGCCACTGCGACTGCTGGTGGACGCTGTGGGTCGGAGTCACATGGCTCTGCTCCTTGTTCCAGGGATACTGGGGCCCTTGAGGACTTGGCACGGTGCCGAAGAGGAGGAAGAGGATGGTGAGGAAGAGGACGACAGCAGCAGCTCCGAGGGTGAATGGTCTTGGGGGAGCAGAGCAGCAGTGGGTGGGGGAAGGGGGCTCTGGGCAAGGCTTACCCCTCCCCAGGGAGGCCTGGCCAAATGCTCTGTTCTCTCTGGCTCTGGCAGCCAGCAGCGGCGGCGGGGATAAATTAATTAGCGCCGTGATTAATTAGTGATGAGTAACCTCCAAGGCTGGCTTCTTCCTGATAAAGCAGAATTTATGTAGCCTCCGTCTCTCCCCACAGATGGAGACCCAGACGCAGAGGCGGGGCTCACCCCCGGGGAGCTGCAACTGCTGGCCCAGGGGCCTGAGGACGGGCTGGAGGATCTGCAGCTCTCGGAGGAGGACTGAGGAAGCCCGTTTGGGGACCTTCGGGGGCTGGTGGCCAGTGTTGCCACCTTTCTGGCAGTCAGGCCCAGAGGCTAGCGTCTGCGCAGCTGGGGAGGCAGCGGAGAGTGGACAGGCTTTATTCATTTTTCAGTGTGGAAGCCCTGACGCCCTGGGTGGCGGCCTGCCTCCTGCCAGAGCCCCACAGCTGTGCGCTGTTGGGGTGTCAGGGGAAGCTGACCTTGACATCAGGATACAGACCAGTTCCTGGGGAGGCTTGGAGACCCCTTCCACCTCCTCTGCCCTAGGTCTGCAGACCTCATTCATCAGCACCAGGCTCTGCGGTCACCCCTACCCCATCTTTGGAGATGTGTTTGTTTCCTTTGAAGTCACATTTTCCCTTGAAGTGCTTTTCTTTTTTGCATCCCAAACCAAAAGAAATAAAGCTGTGGGAGGCAGGGCCATTGCTTCACGTGGTGGCTCCTGGGAGTTGGTGTGCCCCCCGACCCCTGGCCACCTCAACACAGAGGCTGGGGTGGGTCAGGGGCCCCTGGAAGCAGGGCCAGGGTCCCATTCTCCTGCTTGGGCGAAGCGTGGCTGGCAGAGGCATGGCCCCCTCCATAGGGGGAAGTGGCGTTCCTGGGGGACAAGGGTTGCTCTCCTGTGCTAAGTTCCCGCTCCGGGGCCCGCAGGGTTGGTGGCTGCAGCGGCAGAGCCACAGGGAAGCTGGCCATGTAGAAGACGCGGCCCAGGCGCCGGGCCACCTGCAGAGACAGGGCCTGGTGGGGCTTCCTGAGGGGCTGCTGCACACCCACCGGGGGCTTTGTGCCCAGCTGCGGCCAGGAGGCCGTTCACCGTCCAGCAGCTCACCTGAGCACGGATCTTGAGGGCGGGCCCCAGCTTCAGCCCCATGGTGGTCAGCAGGTGCTCTTCTGTCAGCAGTGGCAGGGTCTCCCCGTCGATGCCCTGCTCCCTGAAGACCTGCAAGAGGGAGGGAGGCTCGGTCCAGGTGGCTGCCCCATCCTCCAGCCCAGCAGAGCCAAGGAGAGCTGTTTGTGCAGCTCACGGAACATCTCTTAAAAGATGTGTTGGGTTTTAGTCGCCACCGAGTGCAAAAAAAGGTGGGGCGCAGTCCAGCCCCTCCGTGCACCGGTTTTAGGGAAAGACAGGGCTTCACGAATGGCCTTACCCTACCATCTTTCTCCAGTGAAGTAATGAGTACCAGCTGGCTCCAGCCCCACCCCAGGGACTGTGGCCCCCCTCCTTACCCGCGTGTACTCTCCACAGCCAGACAGGCCCCCCACGAAGCTGCAGACATCATCCACGGTCCACTTGCTGACGTCCTCAGGGGCTGGGGCCTCCTCCCCATCCACGGAGAGTCCCCCCACGGTTCCTGAGTTGTGGGGCGTGTTACTAGGGCTCTGGCTGGTTTTCCCGTACCCGCCCGTCTTCTGACCTTCGTGCGCCCCAATTGCTCAGTTGTGGGATTGACGCCTAAGGGGCGTTTTCCTCCCCACAGATCCCCTCCCCGCTAAGACCCTTCCACAGGCCATCTGCAAGGATCTAGAGTGTGGGGGTGCCCACCTGTGTGGAAGTAGGGGCTGACGGCATAAGGGAAGCCCAGGGGCAGCGAAGGGGGCAGTGTGCACCCTGAGAAAAGCCCCTTCCCCTCAGCGCCGGCCCCTCCAGCTGGAGCTTGGCCCGGAGCGGGCTCCTGGCATCCGGCAGCTGCCGTCTCGGGGTCCTCTCCGTCCGAGTCTTTGGGGGGCTCGTCCTCGGAGCCATCTTGAGCCCAAAGCCTGGCCCCCGTCATCTCCTTGGACTCGCCGGGCCGGGCCGAGGCAGAGCCGGGACCCCCTTTCCGGGGAGCTCGCCGGGCTGGGTCCCGGGAGGGGGTGGGGGGTCCTGAGGTCGGGGGCCCCTGGGGGGGCAGGGCCAGCAGCGGCGCCGCGCCGTGGTTCAGCACCAGCAGGGTCCCGCGCCGCTGCAGCTCCTCGGCGCCGTCGGCGTGGCGCAGGGCGGCCTCGGGCGCCAGCAGCTGCGGGTCCTTCTGCCGCACGAGGTCGGCGGGCAGCTCCAGCCTGGGCCGGGGCAGACGCGGGTCAGCAGCCTCCCGGGCCGCGCCTCCCCGCCCGCCGCCCCGCACCTACCGCGCCAGGTTCTGCTTCCGCAGGAGCTCCTGCTGCCGGACGAACATCTCCGCCTGGGCGGGGGGCAGGAAGCCGTAGCCTAGAGTGGGGAGGGCGGCGCAGAGTCGCGGGTCCGAGGCTGCAGCCGCCTGCCCCGGCCGGCTCGGCTCCCGGGGGACCGAAGGCCCCGCAGAACCCAGGGCCCGCGCGCCCACCTCCTCACCTGGGGTCTGGCACAGAGCCGAGGGCACCCCCAGAAAGGGGGGCCTGAGAGGGGGGCCCAGGGCGATGTGAGGGGCATTCTGCGGCGACAGCAAGGGGGGCGGCTGCGGCAGCTCCCTGCGGACGGCAGCGCGGTGAGCGGCGCCCCCATTCCCGTAAAGGCTCCGCGCCCCTCCCCCGCCGCCGCCGCTAATTGCCGGCCCCGCGGGCGGTCGATGCGCAGCTCGTTACCGCCCCGGGTCCCGCGACATCCCCGCCCCCGCCGGCGGCGCCAATTAATCTCGGCGGCGGCTCGGAGGCCCTGACCCCGCGGGCGGCGGCGGCTGCCGCGGTAATTACTGCGCGCCGCCTGCTCCCTCCCCTGCGGACTCGGCGGCGGGGAAGCGGGGGCGTCATTAGCCGCAAGCCGGGAGGCGGCGGCGGCAGCTGCAGATGCTGAGTTCAGGGACCGGGCCGGGACTCGGTCCTCAGGCGCCCCCCACCGCTTCTCGAGGCCCCCCGCCCCGCCGAGTCTCCTGGACCCCAGAAGCCGGGATCTGAGCCGGGAACGGATCCGGCGCCAGGATCCCACCCCACCCCCGCCCCAAGCTCTGAGTTCTCTGGCCGACCCGTGACCCCGGGGTCCCAGACTTGGAGCTCCCCTCTCTTCTCAGGCTTGAGTTCCCGTTCCCGGGCCCGCAGGATCCCCCAGATCTGCCTCAGCCTCCCCCACGCGCTCCAGCCGCGCCCTCAACACTGCAGCCCAGGGAAGTGTCACTCCCCGAAACGTTTTGCCCAGATCCAAACCTAGACCTGAACACAGTGCTTGGCACGCTCGGGGCGCTCATCAGCCGCGCTGAGCGCGTGGGGGTGCGGGCCGCTGGCATGGCCCGCCCACCCCAGAAACAAGCCGAGAACCGCAGCCACCCCAGTACCTCTCCGAGAAAGACGGGCCGGCGGCCGGGGCGGCGGCCTCGCGGTGCTGAGCTAGGCCCTGCTTCCGACGCTGACCTGCCGTGGCGGGGGGCAGGTGGGTTTCCAGGCCACTGGGGCTCCTCAGAGCTGCGGCTGCCACCTCCTGCCGGACCCTCAGGAGATCTGGGTGGGGGACAACAGCAGTGACCCCCCCCCAGCTATTCGACCCCCTCCCCAGGCCGCGTCCTGGCGTAAACTCTGAGGTGGGGAGCTAACCACACCACCCGGCTGTGCTGGGCCCTGCGCTGGTCTCGGGCACCAGGCAGAAGGTTGTCCGGCCACAGGGCCGAGGCCGCAGACCAGAGGCTGGGCGGGGAGGTGTCTGGAAAGGCCCTTCCCCAGGGGAGCGGGTGCCCGAAGGCCTCTGGCCTGGGAGGAGGTTGGAGCCTCGCAGGGAGGGGCTGCGCGGAGGTCCCGAGGGCGCAGCGCCTGCGGGGCGGCCAGAGTACAGGAGAACCAGCGGGGGCAGACCGCACAGGGGACCCCCTCCTCGGAGGGCAAGGAGATGTGGGGGTCCCCGCAGTAGACACGGTTGGCAGAAGCTTGCCACAGAAGCGGGGCAGCGCCGGGCCCGCACGGCCACACCAGCACAGGGGCCGTCAAGTCCCGGCCGCGCACGGTCACCGTCCCGCGTGGCCACACTCGCCCCAATGTCCACGCAGCGCCCGCGGGTGCGCACGTCTAATGCGCCTGGTCCTGGGTCTCTCGGCCCCTCCCTGCCGCCCAGGCCCGGCCTCCCGAGTCCCCGCAGCCCCCATAGTGAAGGCTCCGCCAGCTCCACCGCCGCCTCTGTTTATAAATTAATTACCCGAAAGCGGAGGTGGGTCCCGCCCCGGGCCGGGTGCCAGCCCGCAGAGCCCAGCCGGCGCGGCCGCCCGCATCGATCCCAGCGGGGCCCAGCGCCCCCGCGCTCGCGGCCCGGGTTATTTACAGCCGGCTCCGCGGCTGGGCGGGGGCGGGGGCGGGGGCGCGGCCTGATTGACAGCGCGCTCCCCGGCGGCCGGCGCCCCCTCCCCCGCGCGGCCAGCAGAGCGGCCCCGGGCAGAGCAGGGAAAGCAATTAAAAAGGAGGATTTTTAAATTATTAACATTTGGTGAATTATTCAGGCTCTTGGTGCCTGAGCTGCCCTGGGGGATGGTGCCTGGTGTGAGGAATCCTGCCTCCTTTCCTGGCGCCCCCACCCACCTCTAGCCAGAAAAGCCCAGCTCCCCTGCCAGTAGACGGCTGAGGCCTGGGAGGCTGTGTGCAGCAGGACAAGGTGTCTGGCTGCATCCCGGAGTGACCCTGGAGAATGTCATGAGGTGGGGTGGACAGGGTCAGAGCCGACGAGGGGGAAGGGTGAGGTCAGAGGCAGCCCCTCCAGCTGGGGGTCTTCAGCACCTGGGGAGTGCTGGTGGCCAAGTGCCCAGTGCACCCAGCCAGGCCTTTCTGCTCAATGCCCCTCCCCAGGCTCCCGGGGCAGGCGTGTGGCAGGTCAGCTCCCGGCTGGAGAGACGACTGAGACCCTAACCCTAATCCTAACCCTGTGGTCCGGGAGCTTGCTCGCCTGTGGAGGCGCTCCTTAGATGCCCACCGCCCACCCTCACCTGGGTCCACCCCGACTCCATTTCTCCATATATAAAATGTGAGTTACCCACGAGCCTGGGGGACACGGAGATGTGGCTTGCCCCAGGGGACTCGGGGCAGGACGTCTGGCAGAGGGGGCACTCCCGGGACCTGCATCCAGCCTGGCTTTGGATCCATCCTTGGATCCTGACCTGCATCCAGCAGGGCCTCAGCAACAGGAATGGCTCATTACATGTGGGTGGGGAGGTGATAAGGGCTTGTGTGGTGGGATCGTGGCGGGGGGGTCCTCACCGTGGCTGGGGAGGCCCAGGTGGTAGAGCCGCTGAGGGTCCTCAAAGGTGCCGGCCTCGCTCAGTGCCGACACGAGCCGGCGGTACTGGTCCTCCGGGGCCATGGTGGGCCCCAGCTCCGGGGGCAGCAGCAGTGCCTCTGCTGGGGAGGCCGGAATGAGAGGCTTCTCCAGACACTGCCGAGGACCACCCACCTCTGGAACCCCTGCCCGAGATCCAAGGGACCCTCCGGGACTGCCCCCTCTCCTGGCGCCTTGTCCCTCACCCTGGCCGGGCTCTTACCTTGGGGGGATTGGCTTCGTGCCCTCTTCTCCGAAGAGCAGTCACTGCTGATATGGGAGGAATGGCCCAGCCTCTTGCCCAACAGGTCACCTGCAGGTGGTAGTGAGTGCCCACCCTGCCTCTCAGGGAATGGACGGGGGACCCATCCCCTGCCCCAGCTCGCTCCGCCTGGACCGCACCCACCATCTCTCAGGCGGCTTTGGTCCTGGTGAGTTCAGGCCTTGCCCAGCCGGGGGCCCCAGCCTTCAGCGAAGAGCGCATCATGCCTGGCTGTGGCAGGGCAGGGGCACAAGGCATCCCTGACACCAGCTCTGGTCCCGGTACGTGTGCGGAAGATTCACGGCAGGCACCCGCTGCCCCACCAGCCAGCCCGGCCTCTGGTGCAAGGTAGTGAGCCCCCCAGTATCCCCCTGGAGAATAAAACTGGGCACCACCTTGCCCTCCTGGACAGGGGTGAGGGCAGGCTGTGCACAGTCACCCGCCAGTGTGGGGTGAGGTGCGCTGGGCAGGACCCCGCCCCTGACCTTTTCCTGCTCCGTGAGGCACTGGGCTGTGGACCACCAAGGCCTCCTCGAGGCCCCTCCATTCCCAGGCTTCCTCCTTGGTCACACCCATCCCTGCTCTCAGAAGGCCCAAGTCCTCCTCTCTGTCCCACTCCTGCCTGAGCTAACACCCTGGTGTGGCTGTCACGCCCTTGTCTACCTGCCCAGCCAGGCTGTGAGCTCCTGGGTTCACCTCCTCAGCCGTGAGGCCAGCCCAGTGCCAGCCCCAAACACAGCCTAGTAGCTGGCAGAGGGGAGGCCCAGGCCAGGCCCAGCTCACTCGCCTGAGATCCTCCCTTGGGTTCTCCTGACCACACCCATTCCAGACCACAGCACTATGTACCCACGTCCCACCCAGCCCAAGCTCCTCCGAAGCCCCTGACGCCTCGCCCTGGGCATCTCCCGGGTCAGCCACAGTCCCTCTGACTCTGGCCCATCCTCATCTTCATGAGGCCTCTAAGTGGGTGGGGTAAGGGGCCACCCCCCTGTGACCCAAGACCTGTATGAGGCCTAGGCAGTGGGACTCCCAAGCCTGTCCCCCCCGCCAGCCCTCCCGTCAGCTCTAGGCCTAATTCCTTTTTCTTATTCCCTTAATCTGTCATTTTTATCAGGCTGGGGAAGTGCGGCGGCCACACCGATCAATCCCACATTACAGCTGACAGAGCGGTGCTAATAACTTATTGATCTTGGCCGGGCAGCCATCAGGCCCGGCCCCATAGAGAGGGTCAGTCCCATGGCCTGGTCCAGGGTCCCCGCCTCAGTGACAGATCAGGGGACACCTGGCCGCACGCAGATCCAGGCACCACTGCCCGGGCCCCCCACAGCCTGCTGTGCCAGAACTCAGTGGGTAGGGAGGGGTCCCAGCAGGGCTGGGGCAGCCTGGCACTTTCCCACACCTGCTGCCTGGCCCACCGTGCACACCCTCGGGGTCAGCAAAGCCTCTCACTTCCTAGCAATCAGTTTTCCACTTATACAGTGGAAACGCCCCTCTCGTTCTGCTGGGGGCTAAGGCCTCCTCATAGCCTGGCCAGAGCAGGTGGAAGGGGGCGGAGCAGGTGGAAGGGGGCGGAGCACGTGGAAGTGGGCGGAGCCGGTGGGAGGGGACGGAGCGGATGGAAGGGGTGGAGCCGGTGGAAGGGGCGGGGCGGGTGGAAAGGGCGGAGCCGGTGGAAGGGGCGGGGCGGGTGGAAAGGGGCGGAGCGGGCGGAAGGGGCGGAGCGGGCGGAAGGGGCGGAGCGGGCGGAAGGGGCGGAGCGGGTGGAAGGGGCGGAGCCGGTGGAAGGGGCGGAGCGGGCGGAAGGGGCGGAGCGGGCAGAAGGGGCGGAGCCGGTGGAAGGGGCGGAGCGGGCGGAAGGGGCGGAGCCGGTGGAAGGGGGCCTGCCCAGAGACCACGGGAAGGCCGCGGAGGACACGCTCACTCGAGGACCCCGGGTGGTCTCACAGAGGCAGACAAGGACCTGCTCTGAGTCCCTCACAGCCCAGGGACCAGGGAGGTGCTGCCTGGTGGGTGGGGAGGGTCCGGCCAGGAAACAGGATTGACGTGTGGTTTCTGGGGTCACCGGAAGGGAGAAGAGGTGAATGCCCCCAAGGGTGAACGCCTCCTGCAAGAGGAAGCTCCCGGGAGCAGGCCAGGCCCTGACACTGAGTGTGTGGGTGAGACCCGCCGGGTGTGAGACCCCGGACACGCAAGGTGCTGCAGAACCTGGGGCCCCAAGGGCCAGAGCGCTGCCGGCAGCCCACCTCGCGGGCACCACACGGGACCCCAGATGTGCACACACGCACACGCGTGGACCTGAGCAGGCTCCCTGTGTGAGCGCACGGGGAGGGGCTGCTGGCTGAGAATATCTCAATCTTTACGGGGCTCCCTCGCTCTACCGATCGATGAGGCAATTAGATTTTATCAACCATCTCTCCGCCGTCTGCAAAAGCCGCCCCCACCTGGCCCCACAAAGGCCTTCCCAGGCCCACGAAGACACGGATGGGGGACACAGATGACACGGATAGGGGTGCCGAGTTCCAGGGGGGCCTCCCCCGCCGCAGCTTCCCAAGAGCTGCAGGCCCTGCTGGGAACACGCCTGCCTGGGTCCACAGGACCTCCGGAGCACCCGCCTCCTTTCACGGCCCACCCGGGGCTGATGCTCAGCTGTGTCCCTCTCTACAGCAGTGGCCTCTGAGGGGGGCCTGGGTCCCCAAACTGCCCTCTCCCTCTGAGGTCCTGTGTCAGGACCCCCATCCCCCTGAAACAATTGTGACCAGGCAGTAGCACCTTCCTCAGGCACAGGCTTCTTCCCTCCCAGAACCCTAGAAGGCAGGACCAGGGACCCCTTCCTCCCGGAGACCCCTTCCCTCCCAGAACCCTAGAAGGTGGGACTAGAGACTCCTTCCTTTTGGGGACCCCTTCCCTCCCAGAACCCTAGGAAGCAGGACTAGCCGGGCCTGCACTGAGCAGTCTCCAGTGGGGGTGAGCACGCTCCAGCCTGTAAGCCAAGCCACTGCGGGGGGTGCATTTCTGAACCTCTAAGGCCTTGCCTACGTCTGCCCTGTGAAGAGGGGGTGGCAGGCCCCGGCGGCTCCAAGCCCACCCCAGCAGCAGCCACAGCGGAGCCGCCGCCTCGGCCTCCTGTCTGCCCGGCTGGCTGGGATTAACACAATTACCATCACATGCAGCCCTGGGGGACAGGCCGCTCCTCCTCCCTCTCTGGCTGCCTGCCAAGGCTGGCCGGCAGCCGCCACTGTCCTCTGGCCCCACAGCCACGACCCCTCCCTCAGGCCCCCTGGGCTCCTCACCTGCGGGTCCCAGGCCAATCTCCAGGCTGCCTCTCTGGAATTCACAGCGGCTCTGATGCTCCGGCATAACGAGGTGGCGGCTGCGGTGGACGCTGGAGCAGAACAAGACCAGAGAGGCTGACCCCCTGGGCAGCGGAAGAGGCTAGAGCCCAGCCTGGGCATGGGGAGTGAGCCTGGGGACGCCCTCTGAGCAGCCGCACTGCTGTGCCCACGCCTCTGCATGCGGCCCGTGACGCCACCGTGTGCACACCCACGGAGCAAGCCAAAGCGACACAGAACCCGGCCCCAGGACCCCACTGCTGCTCCAGGGAGGATCTGTGTGGAACACCCAGCTGGCTCTGCCTTCATCCCTCCTGAGAGACTCTCACTGTTATCTCACTCCCTGCCCAGGGCCAGGCTGCTCCTTACTCCCTGCCCAGGGCCAGGCTGCTCCTTCGGGACGGGCCCGGAGAGCACCACCTGCCTGCTGCCAGCCCCTCGGGGCCATCTTGATGAGAACCTGCAGCCATCACCAGCCCTCAATTTCTGCACACAAGGAAACTGAGGCTCAGACCACAGTCCTGCGGCTGACGAGATGCGTGTACGTGCACGCGCACGCACACAGACACGCACACACGCGTGTGCACACATGCACACACGCACACACACACACACACACACGGTACCCACATGGCAGGCACCAGGGCCGACATCCCACTGTCCCCCAGGCAGGTGTGGGCTTGGAATCAGCATTTAACTCTTTTGTTCCCTGTTTCTCCTCTTCTTGCTAATTCAGCCGCATCCCACATCCACTGGGGTCCCAGAGAGCAATGGCAGGAACTGTGTGGAGTACGGCCCTCCACCCCTTCCTGGTTCTGTGAGCCTCCCCCCAGGTCAGCAGAGAAGGGGCTCCAAGACCATGAGACACCCCCCTCAGCAGCACCCCTGCAGTGTGGTCCCTGCCCACCTGCAGTGGGGCAGCCGCCTGGCTGCACTGACGCTGGCGGGGCCTCTGCGCTGTGACCTGGGAGCGGACCCTAAACCTGGTTAAATAGCCCCTGGCCCCCCTGACCTGGGCTGGCTGGAGCTGGGCTAATCCAGGGCTGCCCCTAAGCAGATCAGTTTCAGCACCAAAGACTCCCAGGCTGGGCTCTAAAGCTTTCCGGAGACCCAGATGCCGGCCTCCCCCACCCCCACCGGCTCCCAGTGGGAAGGGAAGCCCCCCAGGCACACAGGAGGGCAGGTGGGTGGGAGTAAGTACTTTATGGGATTAATTGGCAGGAGTCTCATCCCCTCCATGATCCTAATCGATGCGGGGGTGTCAAGAGAGAACTGCTGGCCTCAGCATGGGGTGGGGGCCAAGGGCTGTCCCAACAGCCACAGCTGCCACAGGGTTCTCCGCAGGGTTCCATACTCAGGTGTCCCCAGGAGGGAAGCCTGCAGGAGGAGAACTGGCTCCCCAGAGAATCTGGAGGGTGGGGGCTGGCCTATGAGCCCCAAGCCTGGCGCCCAGAAGGAAAGTGAGGGAGGGCCTGACAGCTGCTTGGAGGGGCCGTGGCCTGGCAGATGTACCTGGTGGGAAACTGGAGGCCCCCTGCCCTCCCCAGCCCTGGTATCTGCCTTGGAGTTTGCTCCTTAAGTTCCAACAAAGCCTTGCCTGGCCCAGCCTCTGAAACCCTGTTTCGGCCACTTGGCCACTCACTGAGCAGATTATGCAGTTTTATGTAAAGAAATATGAAGAAACCCTAGACATCCCAGAGTGAAGACGCAGGAACCCTGCCCGGGGGACACCAGTGCACGGTCCTCAAACACAGAACACACTCTGCTCCCTGCTTCGTACAAGGGGCGAAACCCCAACGGTCTGTAGTGGGCTGGGGTGCAGATCAGGAGGTGGGGGAACCAGGAGGGGCAGTCAGAGCCGGGGCAGGAGGGGCAGGAAGGAGAGGGTGTGGGGGAGGCTGCAGCCTGTCAGGTGAGACCCCAGCTCCCTACGAAGGGGCCTCCCACGCTGCCCTCAGTGACAACCACACAGTCCAGCACTTGCCCATTTTCCCACCAACCCAGGGGCTCTGGAGAGAGGGGCCATGCCCCTGCCTGCAAACAGTGGCTCCGGGAAGGATCTGCCACTCCAGGTTCTTGAGCACGAGGGGACAGCCCGGGGCTCTGCCAGCTCCAAAAGGCAGGTGGTCACTGCAGAGCCAGCCAGACAGGAGGACAGGGATGGAAGGGCCGACAGACAGATGGGTGGAGACCAGCGGATGGGAGCAAGCGAGTACACAGATGGTGGTGGCCCAGCGTGTGTTCTGTGGGAGCCCGCAGAGGCAGAAGGACCCAAGGACAGGCCGGAAGAAATGCAGACAGCCTGGGGCCAGTGTGGCCTCTGGGCTCCAGAACCACCATCCACTCTGACCAGACGCCAGGGTGAGGTCAACAGGCTCTAGTCCACCCAGGCGGGCTGTGCTCTCCTTCGGGGACCCCAGCACACCCTCCCTGCTGACTTACATCTCCCCCTTGGGAGATTCAGAACCTCATTCTAGCCCCAGCCCTGGCCTCCTCTCAGGGTACCCCAGGCTGCCAGCTGTCAGTGCTGGTGAGGCCAGGTGGATGGAGGAGGGGCTGCAGGCAGGAGGAGCCATTCCTGGAAGGAGGGGCGTGAGCCATGGCCGGGTTTCTCTCCAGCCTCACTGACAAATTTATCCGGTAGTGTCCCAAGTAAAAGGCTCATAAAATGCCATCAATGTTCATGACAGTTCATAAAAATGATCAGTTGAGCTGGCAACCCCAAAATGCGGTGGAAATAAGTCTAAAGATGTTTTTATTGTAATTCAGCTCTGAGATCCAGACATTCTCAGAGACATAAACCGTAACACATCTGGCTCGGAGCCAGGACACCGTCCCCTGGGGCCCTTGTGGCTCTGGCCTGAGGAAGCCACAGGGCAAGGCCTGACCCCATGAAAAGAATCCACAGCTGGGCTCTGCTCACAGACTGGCCACCCGCTTCCCCCTGGAGCCAGGAACAGGGGTCCTCCAGTTCCCTTGACCCCTTCATCGGGAATCTTCCCACATCCTGAAACTGCACCCCCAGCATCCTGCTGCCACAGCCTGAATCCCATCCCCCATTTGCCAGGAGGACCTCTAGACCTTCTCCACACACACACACCTGAGCATTCCTTTGCTCAAGAACTTTTGGTGGCTCCCCGCCTGGAGGACAGTGCCCACAGGCCGGCACACAAGACCCTTCAGCATCCAATTGAGCCAGAGCTGCCGGGTTCCCCCCTCCTCCCTCCTACAAGCCCTTCCCTGTTCCTACGCACACACCCCCTCGCCTTAGTGAACTCCTACACATCCTTTGAGACCCCACTCACACGTCCCAATTCTCACCTCCTGGTGGGTGTCTGAGAGGGTGGGAAGCGGGAGGTGACAGCCTCATTTTTGGGCAGATGGGCTCAAATGGCCAGTCTCACATGGGCGGGAAGTGCACTCTAACTCTGGGGCCAGGCTGCCCAGAACTCACACCTGAGCTGCCGCCGAGGTCTGCATCTGACTGGGCCTGGGGTCCCTCAATCTCAACTGGGCACAACAGGGTCTGCCTCCTGGCTGGGGGACAACCTCACCGCACACCAAACCCGGCCGATGCTCAGCCAGCATCAGCTCACGCTATCTGAGACAGGGGACGGCAGATAGATAGCAGGACAGCAGGTCACCGGCAGGGGTGGGAGGAAGGGAGGCAGGGAGCCACTCTCCCCTCCCACGAATGCTCCTACCTGCAGGCCGTCTCTCGGAAGGAGATGTTCAGGTCCCAGTGGGTGTGCACTCTGCAGGAAGAGAAGCAGAAGGTTCACGTTACTCCAGAGGCCCCTGACCGCAGCCTCAGGACAGCAGGGCGTGTGCAGACCCGTCTCGGGCCAGTGCCCTGCTGGGCCACAGCCCTAGGCAGTGAACGACGGTGGCTGTGGCACCCAGCACCATCTGGTGCCGGCTCCACGTGCTGGGGTCTCCCACCAGGACAGGCCCACGGGCCAAAGCCAGCTCCTGGCCTGGGCAGACACACGCGTCAGGAAGAACCGCACCGCGGCCCCGTCTCCCTCCGGCTTGCTGCCCTCCCTCGGAGGAGCCCTCAAGTGGTACAGCAGGCGGGGCCGAGGCTGCTTTCGTGTGGTCGGTCATGAGCCCAAGCAGAACTCCTTATTGCTGGAGCTGCTCTGGCCAGACTGAGACCCGGTCAGCAGGGTAGCTGGAGTGTAGGCCCGGGCTGGTGCAGACCCCTGGGTGTGCAAGTAAGCACTGCACAGCAGAGGAGTCGGGGGATGCCGGACGGGGGCAGACGAGGAAACAGCTCCCGCCTGCAACCCACACCGAACCCTAAAAAGACCAGCATCTGAGGGGAGGTGTGGAGGCCAGTGTAGACACCTCATCTGAGCAGCTGAAGGCCAGAAGCCGCGGCCGGCCCCCTCCGAGCCTTGCGCCTTCCTGCCGGCCCTGGGTCCTGGTACCTTCTCTTCATGATGTGGATGTGCGGGCCATCTTCCCGCTTCAGGCCCGGCTGCCGCCCACAGGTGGGGCCACTCCCGTCACTGTCGCCATCGCTGGCAGAGAAGCTGGGGGTCCGCTCCTTCTTCAGGCTCCGGGTGGCCGACAGGGTGACTGTTCTCTTGTCCGCCAGCCGCCCCCGGTTCTGGTGGGGCAGGAGGAGAGGAAGGTGAGGCCGGAGCAGGCCGTCAGTCTTGTGGGAGCCTGCCCTGACTTTGATCCCCTGGCCCAGCCCCAGGCATGGCAGAGGCACCCTCAGAGCAGCCGCCCTTCCTCCACCACCACCCGCCTCCAGGACGGGCCTGGGGCCAGCAGGAGCCACGACTGGCCAGAGACCCAGAGGACAGCCGAGAGACGGGGTCTCAGCTGTCCCCCGACAGACGCCCACCGGCTCAGCCGTCCCCGCCCCACCCCACACCAGCCTGGTTCCGCCGTTTGTCCTCCCAGCCCTTGAGGATGTTGGAGGGTCCCAGCCCATTCGTGGGCCTGGGTTGGGGCCGCCCCTGTGTGGCAGGCGTCCCTCCTGGCTCACTCACGTGCCCTCACTCCCAGCTCTCTTCCCAGGGCCCCCGCGTCTCCTGGGACCTGCGTAGAACCAGCGTGGCTCTAGTGGACTCGCACAAAACACACACACACACACACACACACACACACACACACTAGTTACCTCCAGCTGCCTGCCTGCCAACCCCAGCATGTTCTTTGTGAACCCTCTCCCCCGCACAGCCCGCCACCGACGCCAATGTGACAAGCGAATTCCCTTTTATACTTCATCAGCGCCATGCAGAGTCCAGCTCAGGGGCAGCTGCTGCCTGGCACAAGGCAACTGGTAACTGTGAGCCGAACCCTCGCAGAGTGCAGGCTGGGGGCTCACAGGTCACCAGACGACCAGCCCTGAGCAGCCCAGGTGCCCTGTTCCACCAGCCCTGCCAGGCATTTCACGTGGCTTCTTTCTCCCCATCTCCCCTGCACCCACTGAACGAGTGGGTGGAGCTGTGGGTGCCTCTGGTGGGAGCACAGACGTGCACCATATGACCCCTGCAGAACACCGGCAAGCCCCGAGCTCACACACACATGTGGACACGCAAATGCATGGACATGCACACATGCGGTGGACACGCACACACACTCAGACACGCGAACACACGCAAACACGCGCATGCACTTGGCGGACAAACACAGCGGACACGCACACACGGACACTCAGACATGCGCGGACACACGCAAACACGCACACATGTGGACACTCAGCGGACACACGTGGTGGACACACACGGACATGTGGGCACGAATACGCACAGCAGACACGCACACACGCGGGAACACGCACATGCGTGGGGGGACATGCACACACACACATGGCGTACACGCACACACGCACTCAGCACCCTGCATGGCACAGCAGCGCAGGCCCAGCCCCAGGTGCTTCTGGATTCCTCCATTGTGTTTAGGTCTTACCACCCCCAAGGGAAAAGGAGGAAAGTCACTGATTATTTCCCGGTGGCGGGAAGCTTTTTAAAATTTAACCGTGGGCCGCTGGTCCTGGGGTGGCGGAGGCCCTGAGAGCATCTAACTCCCTCTCCTCCTTCAGTCACCGGTCTCCGTGGACTTCCTCCCTCCTGTTGCCAAAACAGCCGGGAGCTTGAGAAGAAGGTGTTAGGCGACTGTCTTCCTCAGACCTAGAACCACCATCACCTTCGAATGCACAGCCCCAGAGCCAGCTCAATTTGGGCAGTGCCCCCTCTCCAAGGGTCTGGAAGCTGGAGCATCCCCCCATCAGGTGGAAGCCCCCTTCACAGAGCCAGGTCTCCCTTCAGCAGCCACTGGGCCTGTGCTGGGTCCCCTCTTTTCCCTCCACCACAGCTCAACAGGAAAACCCAGCACTGCCGAGCAGGGGGTGGTGGAGCATGGGGTCTGAGGTCCCTGCTAAGACCCTGCCCTGGCCTGGGCGGCCCCAGGCTGTAGCTGCAATGGCTGTCTGTGCCTGTGCTTCTGTGAGTGGGCTGGAGCTGGGGGTGCCTTCAACAGCCACAGCCTGTCTGGTGTGTGCTGTGCTGGAGAGTCCCGCTCTGCCCCACCTTTCTGCCCAAGCCCCATGGTTCAGACGATCTGATGGCCTCTTCTCTCACACCTCCCTTCTCTTGAGAAGAAAACAAAATGCTTTTTTCTCTGCTTCTTGTCTGTAGGATGGGGAAGAGGGGGAAGCCAAGACCAAAAGATGGCCCCGTGGAAAAAGGCCAGGGCCGGCTGGCTGGGAGCGGAGTCCACCTCAGCCCGTGCTGCACGGGGCTACCCCAGGCCCAAAAGAGGCAAGTGAGGGTGCGCCCGGCCACTCAGGCCCACTCTGCACCTCCGCCTCTCTGACCCCTTCCCGGAAGAGGGGCTCCCGAGTGGGCCAGGAGCTGTAGCCCTAACCCCAGCAGCCATGGCCCTAACTGGCCCCAAATTGGTCCTTCCCAACAGGCATTCCTTTTCAGACCAATCCTCCAACCCTCGCTGCCCGACCAGGGGGCTGAGGGCTGGGTGGGGGCGCAGGTGCCTCCCTGTTCAGAAGGCAGCACCCAGCACCCCCGTCTTTCCTGCCTGCTCCCTCAAGGGCATCGATAGCTATCTACCCTGGGCTGGGACCTTGAACGGCCTCCAGCTCTAGTTCTCTGGACATCAAAGGACCACACTGCAAAGACTCTGCCTCCGGCCAGGTTCTGTGTCCCTGGGACACCCAGACGTTCAGGCCCTTGCCCGGGGCTCTGGCTCTCCACACCCCAGAGACACACGTCACTCACACTCACACTCTGTGGCTCCCCAGAATGCTGTTGCACCTACAATCACACCTCACCAGCTGGACCAGAAAACACAGTGACCCCCAAGCTGTGACAGAGCCCAGGTTTAATTATCCCACTCATGGAGAAGACCTGGACCCACACCACTCGAGGAGACGTAGTTCCAAGTCACCCTAGGGGAGGCTCCAGGACAGGCACGGTCCTCCTGCCTCCACACCGGGAGGGAACTGGGGAGCCTCCCCCTGTCCAGGTTCAAGGCTGGGCGAGCCAAAAGCAAAGCCCCTCCCCGATGCCCTTCGGACCTACAGCACACCCGCAGGGACGAGGTTAGGACTCTGGATCCTGAGGACCGCAGGGACAAGCTCCGCAGTGGAGAGAGCAACTCCCACCCCAAGAGCCCCGCATCTCACCACCGGGGAGGATATTCGGCAGCCCGGGCAGTCGCAGATTGGAGGGTGCACCTGCAGAATCCCCTTGGACATCAGCGTCTTCAGACTTTTCCCTGCGAGCAGAGCCGAGGCAGACCCTGTGAGGGAGCGGGCGCTTCTGGGCGCATCGGCTGCAGGGCCAGCCCCCTTTCCGGGCTCGCGGACGAAGTGCACCCCGACACCCCCCCCCCCCCACCGGCCTCTCCCGACCTCCCAGCCCGCTTCGCGCCCCACCCTCGCGCACGCCGCGGGGATCCTCAGGGCTCTGCAACTCCAGCCCTCGAGGAGCGCCCTCCCCGGACGCAGCGCCTGAGCGTCCCCGCGCCGCGCCCCTCCTCCCGCGCTCCACCCTCTCCCCGACCCAAGGGAGCCCAGGCAGGGCCCTGAAAGGCTGAGTCCCGGAGGCTGAGCGGCCTGGCAGCAGGAGGGGGCGGCCCCCGGGAGCCACCCGCTGCTCAGGTCCTAAGTTCCTAACACCCCGCGGCTCCTGGCGCTCACCTCGCCCCCCGGGTCCCCGCTCCGGCGCCCCCGCGTTGCACCCTTGGGGCCAGGCGCCCGCAGGCGCCAAAACAGGCTGCGCCCCGTCCTGGCGCCGCCGCTCGGGCTCCGCGTACGCCCCCGCCCCGCCCCGCGCCGCGCCCCCGCGGCCCCCGCCTACCCCGCAGCCTCCCCCGCCGCGCGCTCGCCCCGCCGCTCCCGCCCGACCCCGGGGCTCTGCGCCCTCTCCACCCGGCTCCTGCCCGCGCTCTCGAGTTCCCGTAAACTTCCTTCGGGGCTTAAGGCCCAGGAACCTCGCAGACACCTTCCGAGCGGAGCGGCGGCTCGCGAACCCCAAGCGCTGTGGCCTAAGCTGGGGGGGCGGTGCAGCGAGGGGAGCTCTGCCCGTGTCCGCCGAGGCACCGCGCGCGCGGCAGGGGTTTCCCCACGCAGTCCTGGAGCTGCAGCGCCCCCTCGCCCGAGCCGGAGGGCTCTGGGTGTCCGAGTCGGGTCGGGGGTGGGGTCCGGACCCGCGGGTCCCCGGGGAGCCCAGGGAGGGACCGCGGAGGTTCGCGTCCCCACGGGTGTCGGGTTGGGGAGCGGAGGGAGGGGCGGCGACACCTTTGTGGCGGATGCTGCGCTTCCAGTCCTTGGCCGTCTCGCGGCCGCTGACGAACTGGAACTCGTTGGGCGTGAGCCACTCGCCGCGGTGGCGGATGGACGGGCCCTTGCTGCCCTGGCAGAGTTTGCGCACGTAGAGCAGCGCGCGGTTGGCGCCGCACTCCACCTCGATGCACGGCTCGCCGTTGTCCAGCAGCGGCTGGAAATCCGGGACCGCGGCCCCGGTGGCCGAGAAGCGCTCGAGGGCGCGCGGGTCCCCGGGCAGGTGGAGGTGCGGGGCGGCCCCGGGCAGGCTGAGGTAGGCGCGCGGGGAGCGGAGCGGCGGGGCCAGCAGCGCTTCGTAGCCGGCGGCCGAGGCGGGCAGCGAGGCGGCCGGGGGGAGGGCCGCGGCCGCGGGCAGTGGCGCCAGGTAGCCGGGCAGCGGCGGCAGCGGCAGCGCGGCCAGGCTCGGGTGGAACGTGGCCAGAGCCAGGGCCAGGTCCTCGCGGCCCGGGAACTCCTTCTTGATCGCGGGCATGGCGCGCGCTTCGCCGGCGGCAGCAACTTACTCCGGCCGGGGCTGGAGTCGGGTCTGGCCGCGCCCCCACCCCGGTCAGCTACTGCGCCCCGGCGCCCGCCAGGCCGCCCCGGACTGCTGCTGCCCGGCCCGGCGGGGCCTCGGCGGCCGGAGACATGGAACTGCCGGCGCTGCGATCGATCCCGCAGCTCCGCGGGGCGTCCGGGGTCCCACGCCGCGGCCACCTGCGTCCGCGTCCGGGGCGGTCCCGCCGGCCAGGCCGAGCCCCCAGCGAGGAGTCGCGGAGTCCCCGCCCCTCCCGGGGGTCCCCAGCCCCCGCCCCGCCGCCCCGGCCGCGTCAGCCGAGTACTCGCGTCCACTGGCGCGCGCCCGCCCGGCGGGGACTTGGGAGACTCCGCCGCCGCCGCCGCCGCCACAACTTGGCCCATTTAAACGGCCCCGGCGCGGCGGGCGGCGCGGGCTCCCGCGGGGGGTACGTGACGGCCGACTCGGTGCCTCCGGCGGCGGGACAAGCACCGTCCCGAGCACCGAGTCCGTGGGAGCCGCGGGAATCCAGGACTCGGCGCGGGACCGGGACGGGCGCCTCTCGGCGGGAGGGGGCTGGGGGCTGCTCGCCGGTGCGGGAGCGTGCGCTGGCGGCCGTGGGGTTCTGCACAGCGACACTGATGGCGGGCACTGGTGTCCGGGCGGGCGCGGGTGGTCTCAGCGCGTCTGCAGGGAGCGAGGTTGTGGATTTGGGCGCGTTGTCTGGCAAAGTGTCCGGAGGGCAGCAACTGCCGCCCATCCTTGTGCCTTCACGTGCATTCCGCAGGCCTGAGTTCGCCTGGGCCACTGAGTTCCTCTTTGGACGCTGAGACAGAAAGGTCAAGTAACTCTCCTGAAGTCACACAGCTGCTTCAGACGCAGAATGTCTCACTCCAGGACAGAGCCAGAGCCATGGTGTGCGGCAAGAGCTTCCTCTAACCCCATACCTCCCGGGAAGAAGGTGCTGTGGGTCCAAGTCAGGCTGGGTGACCGGCAGCAGGGTGCAAGGGCTCACCTGCAAATTTTCTCTCCCCACGCGGAGCAGTGGCCCTGCCACACCACGTCCCTTCGGCGCCTTCCGACAGGTCAGCCTGGGCCGCAGTCCCGGCCACCTCCCTGCCTGCCCAAATGGGTTCCAAAGAGCAGCAGAACCCGGGGCACTGGTAACGGCGGGCAAGGCGGGCTTGCCCTGCCCTGCTGTGCCTTGTCGAACACGCTAGAATGGGGCATCCTGTTGCCACCCTGGCCTCTGCCGCCTGAGCTGCACCTGGCTTCTCCCTGTGGGCATCTCCCTGACCAGGTCCAGTCGGTGAGTGGACCACAAGCCTGTTTGCACAGGCACCTTCTTCAAGGGAGGGAACAGCCCGTCACCTCCTGCCAGGCCAGCCCCACTGAGCATAAATCTGACCCCTGGTGACCACTCTGGGCTCCCTCACAACTCATGTCCTCACCTTGTCTCAGCAGAGGCTTCTGCTGGCCCCAAAGCCAACCCTTGGAGGGAGGTCTGGGCCAGCCGTGCTCTGCTCAAAGAACATACCCAGAAGCCTCCCCCGCCATCCTGGCTACCTTCCGTGGGGGCTCCTTCTTGGTCTGTTGGGGCCTGAGGGCCAGGTGTGAGTGTGGGTGACCCTTACGTGGCCACCCTTGGCCAGTCAACCTGTCTGGGGCCGGAACACCAGCATATCCCTGACCCCAGATGTGGCTGCCAGCGAGTCCCTGTGCCTTCCTCCCCTGAAGCCTGAGTCTTGCCTCAGGTCCGATGCCATGTGGAAAGTTGGCTCCTGGGCCGGCTCAGAGGCCATGTGCACTGGCCCTGAGTGCCCACTGGCCCCTGCCCTGACCCTATGGTCACAGCTCCTGTGTGGGCTTCTAGGTTCACCTGCACCTGACCCCTCGATGCTCACACAGTGACTTGGGGAGGGAGGCTGGCTGGGAAGGCGCAGGTCCACATGGCAGCACCTTTCTGGGTCTTGGGCCCTTGGGCCAGGCCTCTCCTCTGACCTGGGCCAGTGGAGGGGCCTCCTTTCCCTTCAAGGGCCTTCCTCTTGTTCTCCTGGCACCTCACCATGCTCAGGCCTGCAGCGCAGTTGGTGGGGAGCCATGGGGTGGCCCTGGGTTTCTGGCTGGGCAGCCTAACCTCCAGCCCACAGTCTGGCTCCACCTGTCTCTGGAGGACCAGAGTCTCTTCCTGAAAAGACCCTGACTGTGTCCAAAGCTGGAGGCACCCTGTCCTCACCGTCCAGTCCCTGAAGTCCAGGAGGTCCCTCCAGGGGCTGGGCGAGGAGGCCTTCCCCACCATCCCCTTGTCTTTCTGGGAAGCAGGCACCTCCTTGGAGGCCACTTTCCCACACGACCAGGCCTCCTCACCCCTAGCATCACCCTTTTCAGCGGGGCTGTGCCCCTTCCTTGGGCCTGTCCACTCCCACACTCATTCTGTGTTCCCTCATATACACCTGTGTCCCATGCACACACCGTGTCCACTCCCACACCTGTCCTGTGTCCATTCACATACCTATCCCCTGTCCACCCCCACACCTGTGTCCACTCCCACACCTGTGTCTACTCCCACACCTGTCCAGTGTCCACACACCGTGTCCACCCCTACACCTGTGTCTACCCCCACACCTGTGTCCACTCCCACACCTGTCCTGTGTCCATTCACATACCTATCCCCTGTCCACTCCCACACCTGTGTCCACTCCCACACCTGTGTCTACTCCCACACCTGTCCAGTGTCCATTCACACACCATGTCCACCCCTACACCTGTGTCCACTCCCACACCTGTCCAGTGTCCACTCACACACCTGTCCTACGTCCATTTACACACCGTGTCCACCCCCACACCTGTGTCCACCCCCACACCTGTCCTGTGTCCACTCACACACCTGTGTCTCACGTTCATTCGTGCATCCACGTTCCATGTTCACTGCCTCACACCGGGGTCCCGTGCCCATTCACTCACCCATGACCTGAATCCACTGGCTCACACCTGTGTCTCATGTCCACTCGCACACCTGCGTCCACGCGCTCACGTGTCCCGAGTCCACTCGCACACCTGTCTTGGTCTGGGGCACCTGGGCCCCACTCTTCTGCACTCCTCAGACTGGCGAAACTGGAGGGGTGTAGTTTTGGTGCCGGAATCATCCTGAGCGAGGCCGGGACGTGTCGATGTGGACCCTACAGCCCCTCCTCCGCCCACCGAGCCCAGCCTGCCTGGGCCTTGGTGCCTCTGTCGCTGCTCCGGGTCCCCCTGCTGGGGCCCCTCCGCTGCTACTGGGCTCAGGCTGGAGCCGCTGCCTGCCGCCACCAGAGGGAGGAGGTCATAAATAACCCTGGGGCTGCGCTGGAGCAGACGGTGACCCGAGACGTCCTGGGGGAGTGTGGGGGCGCCAGGGGCTGTGCCCCAGCCCGCGCGCCACCTCCGCTGTCCGGGGGTGCCTGCCCAGGCTTCCCAGCACCTCTCTTAGCACCCCCTTCTCATGCGTCCCCTCATCAATCAGCAAACCCTGTATTGAGCCCAGATGTGGTACAGCTCCAGTCCGAGACCCGAGGGAGGAGAGAGATGGGGGCCGGGTCTGGGCCACAGGTGCAGCTGGGACACGCAGGTGAGCCGTGGTCAGCCAGCCCCTCAGCCTCCATCCTGAGCCTGCTTTCTCCTGGTGATGAAGGGAGAGGTACAGACATGGCATCAGTGACTCTTGGCCGAGGATGCACCCGTGTGGGTGCCCGGCCGCCAGCAGGGGCACGCGTGCTCAGAAGCACAGGTGTGCCCACACCCTTGTGCCCGTGTACGGCGCAGTGGCTCCCAACTCACACGGCACCAACAGACCCTCCCAGGGCCACACCGAAGAAGAGGGCTTCACCACAGACGCCGGTGCCGACGGGAGGTGCACTCCTTCCAAGGCCTGTGCACAGGCAGACGCAGGGCCTGCGGGCACCAGCACCGCACAGACCCCGGCACACGGCCGTCAGCCACGGCGGCCGGGGCAGTGCCAGGGCCTGTTGCTGTGGGACGGCAGGGGTCGTGCGAAATCAGCTGGGCTCCCTCGGACGCTCCTGTAGAAGTGGCCAGGACCTCCGGGAACGCACCTGCTCCTGGTCAGACAGGAGGAGCGGCCGCGCTGCGCCTGCCCACGCCTCCTGCCGCTGTGAGCCGGCCGCGCGCCGCGTCATTTCGGGACACGGGAAGCCGTTTCCGAGTCCAGTCTGTCCACCGACCTGAACCGTCACCCTTGAAAGAGCCGAGGCGTGGGCCCTGAGGCCCCCTTCCCTGCCCTCCCATGCTGTGCGGCGAGGGATGCTCCTTCAGACACGGGTGGGCTCAGCCTGCCGGGTTCAGGGGTGCTGCCGTGGTCCTCACCCGCCGTGTCACCAGGGTGCTGACTGACACCCGCGCACGGGCGAGAGCGCGTGCTGGCGGGGCACACCCCAGACACTTCCTCTGTAGAGGGGCCGGTGCAGAAGCCGGAGGCCACCACCTTGAGGCTAAGCACAGGGAAGGAGTAGTCTCCAGAGCCCCAAGGAGCGGGAGGGCCAGTCCCGATGAATGGGCTCCGTGGATCTCACCCTCTCCTCCGGCAAACACTGCCGGCCTGCAGCTTGGGCCGGCCTGGGTTGTGGATGCCACCAGAGGATTCGGCTGCTGCCTGCGGTGGACATGAGCCTCAGTGGGCCTCAGCCCTCATGGCCCGAGCCCCTGAAGCACTGTTGCTGCCCCTTCTCTGACGACGGGTCAGGGGGTCACCCGGAGCTGGGTGCAGAGCCAGGGCCCAGCACGCAGGCCTTGGGCTCCAGGTCCCTGCGCTCCACGTCTGGAATGTGCCAGCAGGGTCCAGTATGAGAAGAGCGGATCCCCATGTGAGCGAGGGTGGAGGGCTGCCCATCTGCCGTGGCCACGGTGCCACTGTCCACATCAGCTCACCCTCGGCACAGATCCCGTGTGGGGCCTCGGGGGCCACGTCCCTCGTTCTGGGTGCCCGGGCTCTGGCCGGTTGCTCCCGCTCTGCTGGCCGCACATTCACCAGCTGGTGAGCTTGGCGGGTCTGTGGGCACGGAGAGACCAGAACCTGCTCGATGAGGCCCCATGAGGGTACCAGGCTGTGCTGACCCCCGAGCTTTGGAGGAGAGGGGACAACAGCCAGGGCCCTGCACAGCCAGCCTCAGGTGCGAGACGCTGGAGCCCAGGGCAGCTGAGGGTGGGCTGCGTGCAGTGGCTGGAAGTTGCTGTTCTCAGACCCGGCTCCGAGGCCCTCCAGTTGTA